AATGGGCCTCTCGAAGAGTATGAAGGGATGGACACTGGGAGGAGGTAACTATGGGGAGGAAGTGGGAGGGAAGCTGCTGCATTGTAAATTTTGGTCAATGACATGAGACATACTATATGTGAACTGCTGTATGAAAAGTGAATTTACTCTGTAAATCTTCACCCAAATCCTAATAAAAAAAAAAAAAAAAAAAGTTCCTAAGATGGTGAATTACACCTATGTCGTTCCCTCTGACCCTCTCTTCTTTGGTCCACCTTGTGTTAAGACTTTTTCTGCTCAAACTTGCTTCCTCTCTGGCTGTTTCCTGAAGGTCGCCCCGCCCACTTCACCCTCCAGGCTCAGGAACTCCTCAGTACAAGGGTCTCTGCTGCCCTCTGGTGGCCACTAGCCATAACACAGACATCCCCACTCCCTACTGAGAGTCCCAGAAACCTCAAATGGCTTTGCATTCTCTCCCTGTCCTGAAGAGACTGGATTTTAAAGGGAAAGTTCATGTCTCGAATCATGAAATTTTCGTAAAACAAAGAAGTTAGGTGACTTGCCCAAGATCACACAGCAGGGCTGGGATCTGTGATTTAGACCTGTGTTTAACTGCCTCAAAGGAGGTCTAGCGTCACTAGGAAGGTGTGCGGGTGCCGACCATATGGTGGCACTGTTAGAAGGGGTGACACCAAAATGACTGTCTTTAAATTTTTGTGTAGGACAGATATTGTATGAGACTAGTATAGTAAAAAGTCAGAAGGGTCTCACAAAAAAGAAATCTGTGATGGTTCCAGGGCTGGGTGGGGGAGGGGTCAGCCACTAACTGGAGAGTACAGTTAGGCAGTGCACCACCAGAGGTAGACACGTTAACGTGGGTGAAGGGGAAGGCAGGAAAAGGGGGGGGGGCAAGGCTTGGAAAAGATGTGTGTGCAGTGTTTCAGCAAGGATTTTTTATTTTTTTAAATAAAAATATCCTTATAGTTAGTTATAAGGGAACTCTGGGGGCACAGTAGTTAAAGCATTTGGTTGCTAACAAAAGGTCAGTGGTTCGACCCCACCAACTTCTTCCACGGGAGAAAGATGAGGCAGTCAGCTTCCCTAAAGGCTGACAGCCTTGGAAACTCTAAAGCACAGTTTTACTCTGTCCTAAAGGGCTGCTATGACTCCAAGGGTTGCTGTGGACTTGATGGAAGTGGGGGCAGTTAGTTACAACTACAAAGCCATTTTTCTGAAGCCCAGCTCATGTGTGTCAATCCATCTCCAAGGCTAGGACTCTGTGCTAATTTACTCTCTGAACCTTCTCATGCTCTCTGGTCCGAGCCACCATTATCACCCAATTACAACGGGGCTTCCGATCACGCAGTTTTGTCTGAGTGCACCACAGGCCTGCACTGTTGTTCCCTTGCTGCTGGTGTTTTTATACCAAAAACCACACCTACTGCCATGGAGGCGATTGACTCCCAGCACCTCCGGAGGACAGAGTGGGACTGCCTCACAGGGTTTCCAAGGTTCTAAGTATTTATGGGGGAACTCTGCTGGCTAGTGCCTAAGGCTTCTGACTGATAACCAGAAGACTGGCGGTTCAAACCCACCAACCACTCCTCAGAAGGAAGGTTGGGCAATCTACTTCCGCAGTGATACTGTTTTGGAAACTCAAGGAGGGGTCACTATGACTCAGATCCGACTGGATGGCAGTGGCTTTGCTTTTGGTTTTTTGGAAGTATGTATGGTGGCATAGTGCCTAAAGCATTTGACTGCTAACCAGAAGGGTGGCAGTTCAAACCCACCAGCCGCTCCTCAGAGACTGGGCAATCTACTTCCACAGTGATACTGCCTCAGAACCCTGAGGAGGGCATGTTATGAATCAGATGGCACTCTACGGCAGTGAGTTTGGTTTTGAGTGCCTAAGGCATCTGACTGCTAACCAGAAGGCTGGTGGTTCAAACCCACCAGCCACTCCTCGGAAGGAAGGTTGGGCAATCTACTTCCGCAGTGATACCACCTTGGAAACCTCAGGAGGGGTTGTTCTGAGGCAGGTTGGGCAATCAACTTCCATAGTGATACCGCCTGGGAAGCCCAAGGAGGGGTCCCACTCGACGGCAGTGAGTTTGGTTGTCTGGTTTAAGTATTCATGGAGGCCGACTGCCACATCTTTCTCCTGCGGAGTGATCGCTGGGTTAGCAGCAGAACTTCTGGGTCACATCCAAGAACTTTAGCCACTGTACCACCAGGGCTCCCTGGGGTTTTGTAGTCACTGATTAGTCACCTTTTCTGGCATTTCGGCTACAATGCTGTGGTCCTTAGCATGTGGGAACCTGTCAGTCTCTTCTTTGAGAATGAAGGAGTAATTCAAGGAAAGGGAGAAAAATCAGAACAGGCCTCCGCTCACTCACGAATAACGCTGTAACTCCATGTAGAAAGACTTTACAAACAATGCCGTGGTTATTATTCATATAATCTAAGAAGAAATATTACATCTAGGCAATTTACAACTATGTTTATCACATATCGTTCTACGGCCAAAACCGACAGTAAACATTACTAAAGATACTGTGTGGTAGGCTCCGGGAGGTGTCCGTGGAGGGCGTGACACCAACCCTAGTGACATCACTGCCAAGAGTATGCTGAAACACGCACCCCCCAGCAGCACAAGTCGGCAACACCTGGCCGTGGCTTGTCTGGACCCCACTCCCCTCCCATCCCAACGGCTACATACTGCTGTTATAGCCACTTCTATGGCCCTTTTGTAGGTGAACTGTATGCATTTTAAACTGACTTGCCTGTGCTTTTACAGTTCTTCTTCCTGTGTTATCTTTATTTTCTTACTTTTCTACAATGAGCAGAGGAGATGGGGCACAATGAAATCATGGCAGGGATTTGAAAGACACGACTTGGAGATACTCCCCCTCATTCAACCACAGAGCACCATTGGGGGCTAGACTCTGTCCCCCACCATTTTCTCTGTGCTTTTCACTCCCCCTGTCCTGCTGCCCAGTCAGGTCTCCTGGCTCCTGCCCTCCTGACGCTGGCCGGCTAGCTGGGCAGCCGGCTGGGGGAGAGCAGCCTCCTCCAGGCAGGAGCCCTGGTGTGCAGGGATCACAAACATGGCTCATGCCAGGGCCACCCTCTCGCTTCTTCCTGCCACTTCCTGAGGACCCCAACCATGGGTCTGGAAGAACTCCATCTCAAAGAGAGACTGGGGCTTCTTGGAGACCCTTCTCTGGGCCCCCAACTCCCTGAGTGGAAGGAAGGCTGGGCAAGGCCAGCCTTGGGGAGGGTTGCCAGGCGACCAGCCAGGGCTCCTCCCAGGGCCTGCTGTGGGTGAAAAGTTGCCTGGCAACCAGGTGGCGCTTCCCTCCCGCTGAGCCTGGGCCACACAGCTGCGCCTAGCCCTGCCTGGCCTCTCCTGGGCCTGTGGGACCCCTGGGGCCCTAGCCTGACTCCCAGAGACCAGGACAGCTGGTGCCTCTGGTCACAATGAACATCATCCTTACCCGGTGAGTCAAGTCGCTTTGCATGGCCCAGGCTGCTGGGGAGGGGACAGGGTGTGGCTGTCAAGGGTCTAATGCAGCCTAGGACTGGCTCTGGGGACACAAGGGGTCTCCCTCCCACAGCACGCCCATCTCAGGGTCAAAGGAAGCTTCTGCAATCTGGCCTCTGCCTGCTTCTCTACTCTGGGTCCCTTCCGTCCTTCCCTTGCTTGCCTCTACCTGCGAAGCCCTGTTGGCGCCCCAACCCTTCAGCGCGCAGCACTGCCCCTGCGGGGCCCCCACCTCTGTCCCCACTCTCTCATGCGCACCCTCCCCTGCTGCTCACTCACAGGCTGCCTCCTCAGAGGTCCCAGGCTCCAGGCTACCTCACCTCACCTACTGTGCTTCCTAAACACGCAGCTTCCTGGGCCTCACTCAGCCACTGGTTCACAGCAGTGGGCTGAGGCCAGAGAATCTGCAATTCCCCCTGAAGCTTGCCACCACCCCACCCACCAGGAGTAGAGGTTGCGCCAGCTGTGTGACCTTTAGCAAGATGCTTCATGTCTCTGGGCCTCGCTCATTCATCTTAAAATGGACAGCACTGATAGCTTAACCCCCAAATTAAACGGCCCACTGCCGTGGAGCCTGCTGTGACCCGTGGTGAGCATGTGCCAGGGCTCCAATGGCTCCAAGTACATTGGCAGGCCTTTCTGCCAAGGTCCCTCTCGGTAGGTTCAGAACCAACAACGGTTTTTCGCAGCAGTACGTTTGCATAGCCCGGCGACTCCGGCAGCGGCTTGGATTTTGCCAAAGCTGAGGCGGCACACAGGGCAGGGTTCATCAGGGGGACACAGGGCTGCTCCCCAGGGAGTTTCCAGGTGAGGGCTATGTCCAGAGGGCAGCTGGGAGTGCAGGGGGTGAGCCTGGGAGGGAGGGTGTCAGGAGAAGGTTGGGTGCACGCGGAGGGAGCCGACGCCTGTGCTGCCTGGCCAGGCCACGCGCTCCCCCGTTCGTCTCCGAAAGGTCTGCTGGACCCCGCAGGCCCCTCCCCGAGGGCTAAGGGCACGAGGAGCAGAGTTGCGGGAAGTGGTGGACGACACCCCAACACGCATGAAGGGCTCTGTCCTGGGTACAGACAGAGTGTGCGTCCCACCGTCAGCGGTGGCTGGGGGGTGCTTGTGACGGTCAGCTGCTCTTGCACTGCCCGGGGTCCCTGCCCAGAGGCCCATTCAGGACCTGCCTCCGCAGGGACAGCCAGGTGAGGGTGATGGAGAACACAGTGACCAGTGCCGAGAAGTACTTCAGCCAATTCTGCTCGCTGCTGGCCGCCTACACCCGCAAGACGGCCCGGCTGCGGGACAAGGCCGACCAGTTGGTCAAACAGCTCATCGACTTTGCCAACACTGAGAACCCCGAGCTGCGGGCCACCATGAGGAACTTCGCCGAGGACCTGGCCAAAGTGCAGGACTACCGTCAGGCCGAGGTGGGTGGCCTGGGCTCCTACTGTACTGTCTCACGGTCGGCAGTCGTTTCTGAGCGTCCAGGGGCTTCCTGAGTGGGATGAGGGGTGACTCAGGCCAGGACACCCTGCAGGCTTCCCAGAATTCCAGGGAAGAGGAAGAAATCCTGGGAGGCTGGGAAGCTGCCCACCTCAACTGACACCTCAAGAAAGCAAATATAAGTGAATATTGCAGTACAACGAGTCCCATGCATTTTTGGTTTCCCAGTACACATCAAACGTATGTGTACAGTGGACTATAGTCTGTGAAGTGTGCAACAGCATGATCAAAAGTTTGCAAAACTGTGAGAGTGACCAAAGCGCAACACAGACATGAAGGGAGCACAGGCCGTGGGAAAAACAGCGCCAACAGACTTATTTGACGCAGGGTTGCCGCAAACCTTCAATTTGTAAAGAACGCAGTATCTGCAAAGCGCAACCAAACAAGCGCAATGAAACCAGGCGCCTGGGTGTCCCGCCTCTGCCCTGCTGTGACTCTCAATGCGAGCCCCGCCCCGAAGCCCAGGTTGTTCTCATCAGCCCAGGGCGGTTGTTAGGAGAGCAACAGCGCTGCTCGTTTCCTCCCCTAGTCCTGCCCGGTAATGAGCCCACCAAGATGGATTTGGTGCCCGGTGCTGTCTTTCTAAGATTTGTACCAGAAAAACCAGAATCAAACCCACTGTCATTGAGTCAAATCTGACTTAGCAACCTTGCAGGACAGAGTAGAACTGCCCCAGGGCTTTCCAAGGCTGTCAGTCTTTGGGTTTGAATCACCAACCTTCTGGTTAGCAGCCAGGTGCTTAACCACTGAGCTCCTCAGGCTCTGTTAGGGTTGTACAGTCCCAGTGAATTGTCACATGGCCACAGTCAGGCCCGGTGTACAGGGGAGGAAGCGAGGCAGAATGAGGTGAAGGACATCCAACGTGCTGCTGCCCAAGCTCGGGGGCGGAAGACACGTGCACTGAGCCCAGGCCTGGTGGCGGGGCGTCTGTTGCTGCCCTGCCCTCCCCGGGCTAGACGCACAGCTCGGGGGATGCAGACGGCGCTTACAAATGCTGGTTGGGGCTGGGTGTTGAGCCTGGCCCCACAGAGGCCAGCTAGCACCCTGTGTCCCTCTGCTCTGATTCTCTCTCCCTGTCCCTGCTCCTCCAGGTTGAGAGGCTGGAGACCAAGGTCGTCAACCCTCTGAAACTCTACGGGGCACAGATAAAGCAGACCCGGGTAAGTGCGGGCCACTGCAGGGCAGGCAGCACTGGGTCTCCCTGTCCCTGGTCCCAGGGCACTGCAGAGGGGCAGTACTGGGTTTCCCCACCATCCCAGGGCACTGCAGGGCAGGCAGCACTGGGTCTCCCAGTGCCCGGTCCCAGGAAAAAAGGCAGGGTGGCAGTACTTGGTCTCCCCATCATCCCAGGGCACTGAAGAGTGGCAGCACTGGGTCTCCCCACCATCCCAGGGGTCAGTCCTCCTCTCCTTTTAGGCTGAGATCAAGAAGTTCAAAGGTATCCGAAACCATGAGATCAAGCAACTGGAAAAGCTGGAGAAACTGAGGCAGAAGTCACCCTCAGATCGGCAGATGATTGTATCCTTCCCAGCTCTCACCAGGACACTCGTGGTCTTCTCCATCTGGGCCCATGGCAGGGGCTGAGGGGTGGGTCCCCCAAGGGGCTGCCTGGCTTATCCTGGATCCTTAACGGTGGCCACTTCAGTCCCAGGTGAGTGTCACCATCTGTCTGGGGGAAGTGGAGTCACACTCAGGTAGTGAACAACCTCATGGAACAGCCAGGTGAGTTTTCACCTGGGCAGAAGCACGTGTGTGCAGGGCCCAGAGCTCAGGACGGGATGTTCAAAGGTGCCCGGGACTCAGGAGACTTGGGTCTGTCCTGGCATTGACACTACCCAGCTGGGGAACACAACGCAAGTCAGTCCACTCCATGGGCCTCAGTTTCCTGAGGGCTTTATTGCTTTTGTTTTGTTGACTTTTTTGTAATTTTACTTTGTTTTATGTGTTGCTTTTGTTTATTGTCACCTATTCAGTGTTCAGTCCCTAGGCGGTATGAATGGTTGGGTACTTGGCTGCTGCCAAAAAAGTGAGGGTTTGAGGCCACCAGAGGCGCCTCAGAAGAAAGGCCTGGCAATCTAGTTCCAAAAAAGCCACTGGCGGTTCTGCTCGGACACATCCGAGGCCGTCGCGTGTGGCAGTTCTGCTGACGCATATGGGGTTGTCATGTGTCTAAGTCGACCTGATGGCAAATGGTCTGGCTTTTGCTTTTTCCTGGATGCTGAGCCCCAGCTCCCTGCAACCACCTCGGCCAGGCATTTCACAACTGTGAGGCTGCAATGACGGCCCCACTGCAGTGAGGCGGGTACTGAAGCTGAGAAAGGTGACTTGTCCAAGGTCACACAGTTAAACGGCAAACCCAGAATTTAGATCCGAGGCTGTCTGACTGCAAAGTACCAGTTCTTCGTGCCCTGGGCCTTTCACACTGATCAAAGAGATGACTAGCTGACTAACAAATGACAACGTTGCCTGGGCAAGAATTCATGTCCATGACCATGAAGCACTGTTGTCAAAGCCCAGGGGTGCCACTGTCTGGGCCTCACAACCACCCTGCAGGGATGGTCTTGTTATGCTTCCTAGTTTATGAGCAAGGCAACTGAGGCTCAGAGAGGTTAAGTGACCTGCCTGAGGTCACACAGCTGGTATGCAGGGCTGTCCAACCCTAGCATACATCACTTTAGCCACAACGCTATTCAGTCACTCTTCTGGTGAATCAGAGAGCCCAGGTGAGGGGACTGAGAATGATCCAGAAGGTGCTGATCAGAAGGTGCCTGACACCTTCCACCTCTTGCTTCCTTCAAGCCAGGCAGAGACCAGTGTGCAGAGGGCCTCGGTGGATGCCAGCCGCACCACGCAGCAGCTGGAGGAGACAATCGACGCCTTCCAGAAGCAGAAGCTGGAGGACCTGCAGGTAGGGGTTCTTGTCGGGACACTGCGTGCTGACCACCTTGTATGTGTCGGTGTGTGTATTCACATGAGTGCGTATGTGTATGAGTCTGTGTTTATGTGTGAGCCTTTGTGGGTGTGTGCAATGTGTGCACATGTGTGTGTATATGAGGATGTGTGTGTGATAGGGAGCCTATGTTTGTGCAGGTGTGTGCTTGTATGTATGCACATGTGTTCATGTGAGCAGTGTGTATTCATGCATGCAAGAGTGTGTATGTTGGTATGTGTGCCAGTGTGTGTGCATGGGTGTGAGCATTATGTAAATGGGCATGTGTGTGTGCATGTGTGCATGTCTTGGTACCTGCATATACGTGTGAGCAACTCTGTGCATATGTGCACATGTATGTGAAAACGTGTATATGTGAGTGAGTTGTGCCAACACGGCTTTCAGGAACCCAGGCTGCCAGTACAGTTAATCCTGGCTGCAGGGCATAGAAGGCCAGCTGCTCAGGGCAGCTGTTCTGGGCACAGCTGTCCTGCCGGAAGCTGTCCACCGGGAAGACTCTGCAACCCCCAGGCTCTGCCAGCCTTTGTCCTCTACCCTTGAAGCTCCAGACCCTTCTCTGAATGTACCATGAGGAGGTGCAGGGAGCCAGCTGGGCCGTTCCACTTCTACCCACACGCCAGCTCCCAGCGCAGCCCGGAATCCCAGGCTCAGAGCCCAGCTCTTGCAAGGACCTTGAAAAGCCAGGGTCTTGAAGGCCCAGCTGCTCACAGTAGCCTTCGTCCACTCTCGAGCCCCCAGTCACCCTGCGGACTGCTGCCCAGAGAGGCCAGCGGCCATGCAGTCAACGCTGACTCTCGGCTGAGAGTACACTGCGCTCCGCAGTGCTCCCAGTGGCTGACTTTTTGAAGCTGAGCTCCAGGCCGTTCCTCATAGCCACCTCTGAGTGGACTTGAACCCGCAGCCTTCAGTGAGCAGCCGTGCATGTTAACAGTTCGCACTGTCCAGGGCCTCCATATTGCTCTCCGTGGGTCTCTTAATGGGAAGATGGCACTTGTCATCCCTGGGCTTGACTGACAGTCTCCTGTGGTTTCTCTTGTTTTAAAGATAAGTTCAAAATCCACTTCGGGGCTGGGCCCCCACACAGTAGGACAATGTGCTGGGGCCTAACTCACAGTAGGAGCTCTGTGGTGCCCGCTGAGCCAAGTGGACCCTTCTCACAAGAAGGGTTGACATGAATTGCCTTCATCCTGCCCCCATTATCACTCATCACACTTGCCAGCTGAGTCCAGTCAGGTTGAGGGGTCCCTGGGCAGAACAGAATGACATACCAGCAACTGCCCTCCTTGTCTCTGGGAAGACCACCACAGTCCACGGGTGACAGGGGTGGGAGGTTCCACAGCCACCTTCCTGTAAGCCCACATCCTTCGAGTGGCTGACACAAAGCCTGCAGGGATGGGTGCGGAGCTGAGAAGACAACCCCATGAGAAACTCCTTGTGGCATCAGTGCCCACATGTTTGGGTACAATTCCCGTGCAGGGCAAATGGTCAGCACTGAGTAGTTAAATGCATTTAACCTGTGACCCAGCAACTCCATGCGCGGGATTCACTCGCCAGCCGCCCCGTCCAGCAAAGAAACAACATTTGCAGAACGTTCTTCATGATTGCTTCGCCTGTTGTAGCAAAAGACTAAAAAGAAAAAGTCAAGTGCCCATCTGCCGGGGACTAGTTTAGTCTAGTTTAATAAATTACTCACACATTCACACCACTATGCAGATGTAAAACAAACAAAAAGGAAAGATTGCCAGAACTTATTGTCAACTGAAAAATAAAAGCTAGGCTCAGAGTGAGAAAAGAAAGGGAGGAGACAGGAACATGTGTTCATGTAAAGAGACAGTGAAGGTGTGTGCATGAAACCTCCGGAAGTTACCACCTACAGAGGGGAGAGGGAGCTTGGTAGCATAGTGCCTAAGGCACTTGACTGCTAACCTGAGGCTGGCAGTTCAAACCCACCAGCCACTCCTCGGGAAGGAAGGGTGGGCAATCTACTTCCTTAGTGATACTGCCTCGGACACCCAAGGAGGGGTCGTTATGAGTCGGTCCGACTCGACAGCAGATAACAACAACAATAACAGAGGGGAGAGAGGGGAAAGAAGGGGCCGGGGGTGGGAGCAGGATGTCTCTGCATGGACCTCAGCATGTCTGGACTTTTGAACATGTGAATGCGTTATCTGCTCAAACAAAAATACATCTTACTGAAAATAACACAGTGGAGTTCTGCTCCAGGACTCATCCCCACGAGGCCAGCCAGCCCCACCTACCCATCCCGACGTTACCCAGGACTGTCCTTCAAGCAGTATTACTTAAACGGTTTGGTTTTCTCTCCCCTAGAAGATTTTCTTGGACTTTGTAACCATTGAGATGGTCTTCCATGCAAAAGCGGTGGAGGTGTATTCCAGCGCCTTCCGGACCCTGGAGAACTACGACCTGGAGCGAGATCTAGAGGTAGGTAAAAAAGCGCCCGTTTTCTGCTTGGTATGTGCAGTCATATCTGATTTGGGCTCTGTCTTGATGCAAGAACTTTCTCTTGGTAACATTCTATAATTTTTCCAATTTTGAAACTTCATTCTGCTGAACTTTTTTTCGTGTCTGCCCGTGGGTACCACACTGAGAGGTGGAGAAGGCCCCCCCAATGCGTCTATCTGCAATATCCACAGACTCATCAGCGTTTGCATAGACAAACGGACAACAGTGTGTTTCCAGGCTGACCCTTGCTGTCATCTTGATGTGAGCGACATGTTTACTATTCCCTCTAATCTGACTGAAATCAGGAGTGAGCTGTCCCAGTCACCTTGAACACACTACTCAGACCAGTGATGTGAGACAATGCTAAAAGGGCATGGAGGCGGCATCTGACCTCCTCTAACTTCACAAGAGGAAGACAGAATCACCATCAGCAGCCCAAGGCTGATTCCTATGAGGCCAGACCTACTGCCACCCCCCAGCCTTTTTACCAGTTCTAACACTAACCATCCCTCCCATGGCACTCACTGCTTCTCTGCTGGGTTCAGTAATCCATTGCAGTGGCCACCCAGAACTCACAGACAATACTCATTATTAGGGAAGTAACAGGTTACAACTCAGGTTCAGGAACGCTCTCAGGATACAGTTCTTCGATCAGGGCAATCTCCCCTCTTCTATGGCCTCAGGCTCGCCTCTCTGGCCCTCGGCCTCTAGGCCTGGCCTCTGCCCTGCTTGGGCTCTTTCAGCTCTGCCGATGGTACAGCGCTATGTACCTCAGTTGGCCAGCAAGCCTCCTGCCCAAGGTCACTCAGCTCTCTTGCTCCACGGGCCGGAAAGCCCGCTGAGGTCTCCTGCCTCTGGGTTCCTCTGCTGCCGTCTCGCAGCTGGGTGCTTCTCTCTCAGCTGGCCATCTGTCTCAGCGGGGCATCTCTTCCGCCAAGGCAGTCCAGCACAGGGATCTTTACCTCCAGCTCGTCTCTCTTAGTGGCAGGGAGACTTCCCCTTCTTCTTCTAGGAAGGCTCATTTTAAGCCTGGCAGCGTGACAAAACTAACCAATCCCAACATCAGAGTTCTATACACTTTATTTGCATGGTCCCACCCAGTAATCTGGTGGGAGTTACAAAGACCATGGCTAGAAAAGCCATACCAAGTCATTCACTGCCCTGCACACAACCATCATCTTTTATTATTCTCTTTCATGGTCGGATTTGACTGGCTCAGCCAGATGGTTCTTGTTGGGGTCACTCACACTGTTGCCATCAGTAGATGACTAGGGCTGGAGTCCTTTCAAAAGTTCCCTCACTCACGTTTGGTGGTGATGATGGCTGTCATCTGGGTACAAGACAGGCCACAGAACTTGCGGGGCCCCTTGATCAACAATTAAGATTCCAAGCTGGCGACAGAGAGCAGAGAGCAGAGCATGGGGCCTTTCTGAGCATGGAGCCCTGTGACTACACAGGCCATATCCCCTAAAGCCAGAGTGCCCAATGACATCTGGAACACCCCCACATAGCCATTCCAGGTGGTCTGAGCTTCCTCACAACATGGCGACTGCTTCCCACAGCAAGCCTCCCGAGACTGAGCTGCGAGGGGACCAATGTCCCCAATGCAGGCATCAGCTGTATCACCTCTGTGACAAACTCAAAAGCCACTTGGTGTCACTTCTACTGTATTTTATTCATTAGAAGCAAATCACTGAGGCCAGCCCACATTCAAGGGAAGCAGAATTCAACTTCACCTCTTGAAGGGACAAATGTCAGAGGATCTAAGGACTTACTGTAAAACCAGCACATGACCCTAAGTGGAGGTCTCTATGACATTCTTTGAGGGGCAGAGTGACCTCTAATCTCGCTATCTTCCTGGGTGACTGGGGATGGCTCACTCATCCTCGATGGGGCTCAGTCCCACCTACAAAGTGGGATGATGATGCCCACCTCTGGGGCTGCTGTAAGGATGATGCGACACAACAAGCAGGAAGCCCCGACAGCACCTGTGCAGGTGGTGGCCCCATCTCTGTTAGCTATCTCTGGGCCTGCTGGCTCCACCATCTTTCCTGCCCGGCCCCACCCCCACCCCGTGTCTCCCAACTGGCAGGATTTCAGAACCAAGATGCGCGGAGTACATGGCCATTACAACGCTCGGCCACTTGCGGACACCAACACTTCTGCTGTCCCGTGGGCCCTCACAAGCCAGGTAAGCACTGGGGGCGCAGAAGTAGAGTGCAGAGGTGCCAGACCTACGACAAAGTGAGATGACAGGGAGAGGCTGGATCACAGAAGCCCATGAGAACAGAGGAGAGCCGGGTGGGAGTGGGAGGGCTGTTCTGGAGTCTGGCTTGGACCTTGCCTTGAACTGAGGCCCAAGAAAACCACTTCATCAGGCTGTCCCTGCCCGTGGCTGCCGTGTCTCAGGCACCCCCTAGTGGCATCCTGGAGTACTGCCACTTGAAAAGTGGGCTGTGGGTCCATCTTGCTTCCCACCCAGGGGGTGACGGGTCTCAGAATTATTTAGATTTTAGCAAAGTAATAAGTATACATGCTCCCTGTTACGTTGCAACACCAGCAAGGTCTAAGGACGACATCTGCAATCAAGCACATTTCTATTTCTACAGGGAAGCCTTTGAGCATTCCACCCAACAAGACGGAACGAGGGCACGTCCAGCCGTGTGTGGGGGTGGGGGGCAGGGGTCTCATGCCTTTCTGAGTAACTCCCTCTAAAGACAGCAGAGGAAGTACGACCCGCCCCCAGCACAATAGCCTGGGTTTAAGCCCTCCCGAGCCGCGTGACATTGTGAATGTTTCTCTCCTTCTTTTTCAGAAAATACTTTGTTGTTGTTGGGACTGTACATGGCAGAACATACGCTTTTTCAGCAGCGTCTCCGTGTACAATTCACTGACACTGAAGACAGTTTGCAAGTTGCAGAACTATCCTCACCCCTCTTTTCTGAGTTGCTTCTCCTCCATTAACATACCCTCACCGTTCCTGTAAGGGTCCTGTCTAGTCTTTCGGGTTGCTGCTGTCTGTTTGATCCCATGGAGACAGATCTTAAAGGAACACAGTGCTCAGGGCAGATACTCTTCCCTGGTTCAGCTGAACCCTGTTTGGTTTGAAGAAGTCTCCAAGGGATATTTTGGGGTTAAGGTTTACAGATTATCTCAGGGTGATAGTTTCTGGGGTTCACCAGCCTCCATGACTCCAGAAAGCCTGGATTCCATGAAACTCGGAAATTCTGTTCTGATTTCCCCCCTTTTAATCAGGGTTCTTCTATAGCATCTTTGAGCAAAACGGATACGCTCCTTAACCTCCCTGTGCCTTAGATTCTTCACCCGCAAAGCAGGGCTAGTAACTGTCACCTCTGCATGGGTTCTGGGAGCACGGGTTCTGGAATTAGAGGGACAAATCGTCACGAGGCCCGAAGCACTTAGAACTGTGCCTGTCGTACAGCAAACAGGGTCTGATCTTTGCTATCACTGATGTCACTGTTCTTCTTTAGAGTGCTCGGAGCACCGTCCAGAGCCAGAGGAAAGAAGAGGGGACAAGTGAGGATGGCTCCATGGAGGAGGACATGGTGGAGGAGCTCAGCGGACAGGGGCGGGAGCAAGGCCGTCACAAGCAGGAGAAGGCTGTCCCATGACAGCTGCCAGAACTGGGACGGCTTGAAGTCAGAGGCCCTTGACTCTTGGAGGGGCTCTGCGGTGTGACCCTGGACAAGTCCCATGTCCTTGGGGACAGTGTCACTCACCCCACAGACTACTCCAGGGACTCCACACGCCTAGCCCTGTGCCTGGTACACATCAGGTGCTCGATAAATGCAGAATCTCAGTTAAATTGTGCTCGGGTCTTGTTTCCAAGCGTATGACCCAGGGGCCTGGTGTGTTTAGCCTGCATTAATGTTGGGAGCCCCTGGTGGCACAAAGGGTTTAGCGCTTAACCACTAGCTGGAAGGTTGGTTAGAACCTGCCCAGAGGTGCCTCAGAAGCCTGGCCGGCGACCTGTGTCCAAAAGACCACCACCTTGAGAACCCTAGGAGAACAGGTCTGCTCTTCAATACGCGGGGTCACCACGAGCCACAGTCAGCGCAATCGCAACTGATCTGGTGCCTGGTCACCCAAGGGCACATCACAGACCTACAGACTAGAGGGGGTGTGGAACAAGGGAGGGGTGACTGGACTCGGCTGGCTGCCTGCCTGGGCCCTTGGAGATACATTTGGAGGGGAAATTCCCAATGCAGCACTGTCTCCCCACTCCTCCCTGGGTCCTGGAATTCAATTCTGCAGACAGCACCATGGGAAGGCCTTTCTGTGGGCGAAGGCCACATGCAGCCCCCGGGAAGATGGAAGGTTCTAGATCATGATGAGCCTGAACATGCAGACACGCTCCACTCGAAAATAGTGCTCCCTGAACAGATCATGCCAAACTGAGGTCCCAGCAGGTCCCAGCTGGAGGAGGCCCACATGCTCACTGTGACACTGGGGGTCAGGGAAAGTCCCAAATAGGCCTGACCCCTCCAGGGCAACATGGAACAGAACAGAGACTTCTCTTCCCACCCGGTTCCTTGGCCACTCACTGTCCTTCTGCCTGGTGGGCCCTGCTCAGGCCGCAGGTTCCTTTGGAGGGAGGGGCCGCAGCATTTTAAATTTGGGGCATCCACGCTCAGGGTCGCTCAGGCTCCAGCAAGCCTCCATCCTCTCTGAAGACCTTGGGCTGCAACACTGTCCCATGGCCTCCTGTGTTCACCGGGGTACAAAAGCTTACATCTGCATTAAGACCCAAGTGCTCAGCTAAGTGGGGAAAATAACGCTCTGATCCCAGAGCAATGTCTCCTCAGAAACCACCACCCTCGCTGATAAACTGGCAAGTTCTGGGACAGTCCTCCCAGATATGTTAAAACAAAAAGGAAACAGACAGGATTTTTTTAAAAGGTAATTTATTTCCATCCCACCTTCTGACAACCCAGTAGACATACATATTTTTTGTGTTATTTTTCCTTTTCACAGGAAAGAGTTGGATTTTAGAACTGTCTTGGGATCTTCTACCTTGAAACTTTCTCGGCCTCAAAATGCAGTGTGTAGAGCCCTGCCTGAGGCACTAATGGGCACGGCTGTGACACATAACAGGCCGCCATCAATGAGCTGTGCTCCCTAACTGCTAGGAAGGCAGTACTGGGATGAGGCAACAACACGTTTAGATCCAAGTCACACTCAGGAGAGAGAGGAAGCCTGGTGCAGAGACATCAACCAGCACGGACAACATCCACAGAAACTGCGGTTGATAACACAGGTAGCAGACGGACTGCTTCCTGGCCCACGCACACATTCCAATGCAGATACGCATACTGTTTGAATTCCTAGCATCTCCCAGCCTTCAAATGTCTGACTCACCTTTCTCCAGGTGGCCGCCTAGGAGACTCCAAGGGACAGTCTCTTGACCTTCCTGGGCCCCACCCTCGCCTCCTCCCCAGTAGCTGCCCTGAGCGACGCTGTTGCTTGTCAAGGAAAAGGACCCATCCCTGACTCGAAGCTCTTTGTCCGTAATGGATGCCTTCCTTCCTTCCCAGCATCCCTTGTAGGGGTGTGGCCCAAAGTGTGTTCCCCCTTCCTCTTTCCCAGGAGGCCATGTGTCTAGGAAGTGGGAGGGACCAGGTCCAGCCTCCTCTTCCATTCCAGCTTGATACCAATGGAGGAACAAGGAGATCCTCCTTCGAGTTAAAGTGCAAAGGTCTTTCATACAACTCAAGCGCCCCAGATCCCCAGTTCCAGGTGTGACTGCAGGGAGGGCCAAGACTGGTGCTCACTGAATTGCCCAGGTGTTCTGGGGCAGGCGTATGTGGAAGTAAGGGGAGGTGGATGCACCTGAGGGGGGTTCTTACTCTCTACTAGAAGCGATGGGATTTCCCCTTTCCAGTATTAACCACTGGAAGAATACAGGCAGTCCCTGAACTATGAACAAGTTCTGTTCCTAAGTCTGTCTTTAAGTCTAATTTGTACCCAAGTTGGAACAGTTTGGTATGGTTCATATCCAATGTTAGTTAGTTAAATGTTTGTCTTAGTGTACAGTTCATAGGGTACAGAAATGCTTCCAGATTCACTGAAACAGCTTGACCATAATGATACAGTAATAATAATAATAATGTTTGATTGCATCCCAAAGTAGAATCTGTTTGTTATTATGAACCACTGTGTATACCTCAGCTTTTTAATAGAACACACATCATGAACTACAGTTGCAGGCAACCTGAGGGCTGCCTGTAACAGTCACAATACTGTGACCATGACCAATAGCAAAAGTCACCTGATTTAAAAAGCCCCAATGTGAGTGTGGCCCCCATAAACTTCACAGACATTTGAGTTCCCCAAACAGCACTGTGGGTCCGTGGGGTCCCCCTCCTGAGCTTTCTGCCTCATCCTCTTTGGAGCTTCCACAGACTGGCTAAATCGGGACACTGGCCAGAACCCACCAAGGCCGGCTGTGGATGTGGCTCCCTGGTCCCCAGGGAGCTAGGACACCTGTCTGGACACAGCAAGGGGCCTGGCCTTCCAATCAAAGACGGAACCGTGTCAGAAGAGGTCAGTGCTGAGGGCCCTCTGGGATGAACAAGCTGGCAATGCTCACCCTCAGGTGAGGCACTGCCTCCCTCTTCCCCATCACCAGGCAACAAGGATGCCCTGGAGCAACAGCCGCTTCAGGGTAAGCCCTGCACCTGTCTGAAGCTGGGACAGGGAACATTCGTCAACTAGGAGCATTTCTATCAAAGGGGAATTGTCTCCCCTTCGCTGGAAACTCAGCTGAAAGCTGCTCCAGCAGAACTGAACTGTCTCTGAGAGTCATGAAGATTAGTAAGCTGTTTGCAGGAAGAGAATGGGTGAGACCACTTGTCAGCAGACAAAGAGCCCAGCAGACAATGGGCCAGGTGGGTGGGGGAGGAGAACTCCAGGGTCCGGCCCACAGCCAGAGCTGGGAGTAGAGCTCGGACCACCCACCGCCTCCTCCGGCCTGTCCTGGAAAGGGGGCCCTCCCTTCTCCCTTCTGCAACAACGTACCCCTACCTTCAAAAAGCTCTTTTCCTAAGCTCCTCATTGTTCTTGTCACTGGACTGCTCACCAGAAGTCTGGCGGTTCAAACCCACCAGCCACTCCTCGGAAGGAAGGTTGGGCAATCCTACTTCCATAGTGATACTGCCTCAGAAACCCAAGGAGGGGTCGCTATGAGTCAGGGCTGACTCGATGGCAAACAACAACAACAACAACACCCAGGAAGGCCAAGCTGGTGGCTCACGGCTCTGAACTCGTTAAGGTAACTGGATTAGACCAGAACCTTCCATAAACTCTTGTGTGATATGGACTCTAGGCACATTCTCACACCAGGAAGCAGCAGTGCTAGATGCCCTCGGTGTCATAAATCGACCCTGTCCACGGAAAAGCAAGTGACACTGTCCACAGAAAAGCAAATCACGGGACCTTCACAATCACTGGGCGGTAGAAGTCAGCCGGAGGACCACTTGGCTACAAGTCAAGGGGAGGAGCGAAGCCAGGTAGTGGGTGTGGCTGGTGGGCAGCTGCCTCTGTCTGGGGCATGGTGCTGGTTCTAAACCCAGTGTGTGCTCCTTGGATCAACCTGAACGTCCAAGGTTTTAATCTGGGGACAGAGCTCAGGAACGGAACCCATCTTCCAAACTCCCTTTTTGTAATTTCATAGCTCTTCAATCCATATATATATAGAGAGAAAGAACGGGGTGCCTCCTAGCAGTGTCACTAGTGCAGTAACTCACAGTGTCACCCCTCATGGACCTCCTCCCACACGAGACCATATAGAGTGCTTGGTAATTTTGGTTGTTTGTTTGTTCTGCAATAGGAAGATCAGTCTCCTCTAGTTCCGCACACAAATAGCCACATGCACACAAGCCAGCTGCAGCCCTGACAGTAACAAGCCACCGCCATCGGGTTGATTGTGACTCACAGCGACCCTTCAGGACGGGGAAGGGCTGCCCCACGGGGTTTCCAAATCTGATCTTTACAGAAGCAGACTGTGGAGGGGATGGTAGGACACAGGAAAATGGCCCTCTTAATTAAACATCTATCAATATTGCTAAAACTATAAGAAGGGTAAATACATACAAAGCTGTATCTCAACACTGTACCGTTTCAAAGCAGGACGCTTATTTGAGAGAGTTTTCTGAACTCTCTGGGAGTCCCACAGCCCTGAAGGTTGGATAGGAGAAAATCTGAACTGCCACCACTAAAGGACAAGCCTTCAAAGCTCCTGACTCTGGACAATGCCTGCTAGAGCTTCAGGTTCCTCTTAGATACCCCCTGACCTTTCCTATTGTGCTGTGATGGATCACTTCTATATGGCCTTTCTCTCCACAGTCTTGTAACTCCATGGTGACTGGGTGGGACCATGCAAATAAGGTGTGTGGAACCCTAATAAGGAGATCAGTCATTCTTGTCATCCCACTAGGCTTACAAGAGAGCCAATCGCAGAGCAGAAAGGGGGAACTCACTACCATTAAGAAGAAGTGCCAGGAATAGAGTGTGTCCTTTCAACCTGGGGGCCCTGTGCTAAAGAAGCTCCTGGACCCAGGAGACAGAGAGACTCGTAACACCAGAGACGGCACAAGGTGACAAGCAACAGCGGCAGAGACACAGCGGCAGCAGAACCAGGAGACGGTGCAGGACAGCGGACTGGCTTCCCAGCCTGCAGAGCAAGAGTGAGCTGAGCACCTACAGACCAAGGCTCCCTGGTAGAACGGGGTGCCTCCCAGCAGCGTCACTAGTGCAGTAACTCACGGTATCACCCCTCATGGACCTACTCCCACACCAGACCATATACAGTCCTTAGTAACGTTGTTTGCACTAACGTAACTCATGAATCATAATTCTCATCTGTCACTGGAAGTAATGGCAATAGTAATACATAAACAACAAGCAAAATTTAAAGTATACCTTTAAATTACCTTATCGTGTGCACAAAAAAAACAACCAAACTCACTGCTATTGAGTCGGATCCGACTCACAGCAACCCTTCCGTGGGTTTCTGAGGCAGTATCTCTACAGAAGTAGATTGCCTAATCTTCCTTCCAAGGAGTGGCTGGTGGGTTTGAACCGCGAGCCTTCTGGTTAGCAGTCAAATGCCTTAGGCGCTATGCCACCAGAGTTCCTATCATGTGCACAGCCTAAATGTATTTACATGTACATAGTTTCATGGGGTTAAAGTGAAAATTCAGTAAGAAAACAATAGAATTCAAAGTAAAAATGGTTATGAACTACATCAAAATTATGTTCATTTTAACATAAAACTTTACTATTATATGAGATACATTAATGGATTGGGTTTGCATAATCAATAACGAACCAAATACATAGACAGTGATGTTTTTAAAGAAAAATTTAAAAAAGATTAAAATTAAAAAAACCCTGAATTTAAAATTTAAATTATATTTCTAAACATGTATCAAGAAACATAGCATTTCCCCCATTAATGTTTGAAATTGTCAATTTCTCTATTTAGTTATCAAAGAGCTTTATAATCAATAGTTGACAGATACGTGAGTTTATTATCAGTTTCAGTTATAAATATGTGATGAAGATAGTTGTAAACTGCTTAAGTGTCCTGTTTCTTAGATTTTATGAACACTAACAATAACAGAGTTCTATAAAATCTGCACTGAATAACATTATTAATTACAACACTATCAGTAACTGAAAGCCTTTATTATTTTTCTCCTTTTTTTCCCTTTAATTACTACTTCACTCTCAAAAAAGTTATTGACATAGATTCACAAGTACTACTTACCATAATATTGTAGCTGAAACACCACAAAATTTGACAAAATCAGCAGCTATAAAAACACCAGCCTCAACGAAAACAGGGCGTGCTAGTAGCGTGTGCAGACAAAGCGATGGGATTCGAAGCGTCACTGTAATTGGGGAGCAATGACAGCTCTGACCAGAGCACACCAGAAGGTTCAAACAGTAAATCAGCACAGAATCTTAGCTTTGTACTGATACCTGGAAGCCAGGCTCCCAAGATACGTTGTCGTGGTTGTAACTAACTACACGGATATTTTTATAAAAAGTAGTCAATTTCTGCTGAAACAGCACACAAATTTATAGTCATTTTGGTATCACCCCCGAACAGCGTCACCTGATGCTACCTGCACCCCCCATACTACCCTAGTGATACCACCTGGTGTCCTTGGGCACCCACTGGCAAACAAGCTTCATAACGCTTGGCACTTGTCCTTGGAGCATAGCACAGACCAGACTAAGGGGCCAAGAGGCCGAGGACCAGAGCGGCCTGCCTGCAGGCATGCCTTAGAGGCTGCTGTCCTGATCAAAGAACTGTATCCTGAGTCGTTCCTGATCGTGAATTGTACCTGCTACTTCCCTAACAGTAACTCTTAAGTATGGTCTGTGAGTTGTGTGGCCACTGCAACAAATTATCGAATGTAACAGAGAAGCAGAGAGTGCTGAGAGAGGGACAGCTGGTAAAAAGGCTGGAGGGTGAGGCATGTGGGACCTCCACTTGGTAGGAATCGTCCTTGGGCTGTTGATCTCGATTCTTCTTCCCCCTTGTGAAGTTACAGGAGGTCAGACACCCCTGCACCACCACTTTTCATACCTGCATTGGGTCTGAAGTTCCTGCACTGACAGGAAGGGCTGTTTAACAACAGTGGGTCCCTGCACGGACACATGATGGGAAATCTCTGCCCACCTGGACCTACGCAGACCTGAGTGTTTCCAGGGTCTTCCTGCTCACCCACAGAAGGACCCCTCGTGTCTGCTCTGGTGGCGCCTGGGATGAAGAGACCAGGTTGCAGGGACATCATACCCTCCCTGGTGACAGGGGCCAGAGGCACTCCCACAGTGAGTCGTTCAGCTCAGCTGCTGCCTAGAGGAGACAGCATCCCCTCCTGCCTCACTGTCCCCATCACAGGGCTGGGTCCTCTGTGGCAGCTTTCCCACCTGGGGCCAAGCAAGGCTGGTAACACTTCTAAAGGTCAGATCCACTTCACCCTTTAGGAGCTGGATCTGTAAAAACAAGGAGTGGGTGCGGAAAACAAACACACAAAACCTTTCTGCCCCTTTAAATTGCTATGCCAAGAGTCCTACACAGAAAAACAAAACAATGGTAGGTCAAGATCACATCTGAAGGTCAGAAATCTCCTTAAAGTGTTTGGAAAAGCCAAGAGAAGTCACAGCTGTACTTCCTTGGAAGGCTGCACTTCCCAGGTCAGCCCGCCCAGAGCACAGGAACCAGAGGCTTCCGGGCCCCTGGACAGGGTCTCAGGATCTATTTTTCTCTCCAGAAATCAGACAAATCAAAAGGCATATACAAAAATCATATATACACAAGGATAAGTCTTTTGGGCACCTGGAAGTCTTAATGTATTTCAGTAACTACTACAATTAATCTGACCATGAGACAGCCAAGGGGAGAGCCCCTCCCAGCTCTGCAGGCTTTGATGGAGCTCTCAGCTGGCCCTTGAGTTTACAGAGCAGGGAAGTTAGCGTGGGGCATCCTGGGAGGGTTTAATGTGTCATCCGAAGGGGGTGGCATGGCAGAGGTACCATGATCATGAGGTATCATGATCCATGAGGACCATCTCCTCATGGATCATGTACCCATTAACTTATTATTGTTCTACAACCCATTTAATGGCACTGTCACAACCGGGGGGCCCTCATAGGGGCTCCACCCTCTGAGATCTGCCCCTCTTACAAGAAGGACACCACCATCATTGCTTCACTAAGCAGTGTAGGTAGGCTGAAACACACCCACTCACACACAGCACTGTCAGCAAAAATGAACATCATCTCTGAAGCTCTAACCCGGTTCTCTGGCGGGCAGCATTCTACCCATGCACTCAGATCAGCCTACTTTATGTCACCAAGTGCCTCCACCCCTGCTCCTCCATGCTGAGCACTAGCTGGGTGAGGGGCTGTTGGCATATACTTGTCAGAGCTCACAGATGAAACAATGATTTAATCTGATTGAGACCGGAGGGAGGAGGGAAGGAGTGGGGAGGGAGAGCCTGGAGAGCCCCATGGCCAATTCCAAGGTCAGAAGGATGCAGAGCAGCGGGCAGAGGGGGGCAGGTACAGGCTGGGGAGCTGGAGGGCCTGGTGCTGGTGGCCTGGACGGCAGCCTCTCAGCCTGGTCTGGTGTGGCTGGGACAAGCCCCAGGCGCTGTGATGAGTAGAGGGGCATGGTCACCACCCCAGCTAAGCCTTCTGGTGGAGACGTCCAGTGCACAGGCTCCAGACAAAGTTAGCAGGTCCGTGGGCAATCACTTTGTTCTGCCTCTCCCTGCCTCTCTGCCCCTGTCAGTGTAACCCTGAGCGTGGACTTTTCTGTCGTTTTGAAATAAAGCAGCACTGTCTGGTTTTCAGAAGGGCACTGTCTTTCAGCTTCTAAAGAAACTTCTATTTCCTGTGTTTCTTGAGTGGGACAGATAACGTGGCTCCTGAGGAGCTGAGGAACTTTTTCAGCTGTTGACAGGAAGCTGCTGCATACATCTCACAGGGCTGATGCCGAGCAGGTCCTGGGGTCCCGGGCCAGGCTGTCATGCATGTGGACCCTGCTGCCGTGTCCTCCCACGGTCTCTCTCCAAGACAGAAGGTATTTCTCTCCCCCAGCTTCCTGTGACTCCCTGTCCCTTCCTCACCAGGAGAGCACGTACCGCCAAGGAGCAACACTGGCAGGGTCGGACCACCTCCTCATGGATCAGGCGGCCCCACCCCAAGGTGTCCTAGGTCTTCAGCCATGACTGACAGTGCCTGCATCCAGGTGAGTGCTGCTGCTGGCCAGCACCTGGCCTTCTCGGGCATCACCCTCATCTGTGTCCAGAGCCCACCGGCCCTCTCTATGACACAGTCTGTCCAGGGGCTCAGCGGGAGGCTGGGGCAGCATCGCCACCCCCTCCTCATCTCACAAAGTTGATGCTCAGCTGCAGTTAGCTGGCTTTAGCCATCCAGTCAAGGAGCACTTTGGCACATGGATGAGGAGCAGACACAGCAGAGGGGAAAGGTGAGGTGAGGGCGGCCACAGTGTTCTTCTAACGGCTACAGCTGCTGATGTCATGCAGGGTTATTGAGAGTTACAGCCAGTCGCTGGGCCTGGAGAGCAGCGTGTGCCCTCAGTCCTCCATGGCCAGTGCCGTGGGGCGGCCTCCTGTGGGCTACTCGGTGGCCATCTGCTCAATGTGGTCACTGAGCAGCTTGTACTGCTCTGGAAGAGAAAAGAACGTTACTTCTCCCAGGGAAGATCTCTGAGCGGACAAGTCTATTCTCCTTTTCTGAAGAGGCCAGTCAGGGGTCTCACAAGGAGTGGTGGGTGCAGTCGTCTCACTCACTCACAGGCCTCCCTGAGCAGTCACGGGCCCCTGTGTGTCCAGCATCGCAGGCAGGGCTGAACCACAGCATGCTGGGTTCACGCAGAGCCCTGTTTACCAACACGATGGGGGTGAGACAGGACTTTGAGTCCACTGGGTTCCTGGGAATCAGGGACACATGTCTGCATAGAGGTGATGAGACAGATGATGCTACATTACCCATCACCCACTGCTACTGAGTCCATTTCAACTCATATAATGACCCCACAGAACTGCCCCCAACGCTTCCCAAAGCTGTAAATGTTTATGGAAGCAGACTGCCACATCTTTCTCTCACAGGGGGGCTGATGGGTTGGAACTGCCAACCTTTCAGTTTGCGTATGAGTGCTTTAACCACTGTGCCATCAGGGTTTGTCATTAGTCATGACCAAAAAACTCACTGCCAGTGAGTCGATTCTGACTTGTAGCGACCCCCATTGGGTTTCCAAGGCAGTAAATCTTTACGGAAGTAGACTGCCCCATCTTCCTTCTGTGGCGCAGCAGGTGGGTTTGAACCACCAACTTTCTGATTAGCAGTCAAATGCCTTAGGCATTACGCCACCAGAGCTCCTCATTAGCCATCAGGGAGATGCAAATCAAACCACAAAGAGATACTGCCGCATCCCCATTAGAAGGGCAATGATTCAAAAAAAAAAAAAAAAAAAAGGACACCAACAGGTACTGGCAAGGTTATGGAGGAACTAGAACCCTCGTCCCCAGCTGGTGGGGAGGTGAAATGGTGCAGCTGCTGTGGAAAACAGGCTGGCGGGTCCTCAGAAAGTCGAACATCGAACTACCACATGAGCCAGCTTCCCAGTCCTAGGGAACGCACACAGAAACCTGTCCACGAGGGTTCACTGCGGCACTTTCCACAACAGCCCAAAGGCAGAAACAATGGAAATGTTTATCATCAGAAAAGAGATAAACAACGGAATACCACTCAGACACAAAGAGAAAGGAAGCTCTGATGCTGCCACAACACAAATGAACCTGGATAGCACCATGCTAAGCGAAATAATTCAGCCGCTAAAGGACAAATACTGTATGATCTCACTTATGTGAATAAGCAAAGATTAGCAACCAAAGATTAAAAATGGTTAGCAGAGGTTGGAGGGAGGGGAAAGAGGGACAGTCTCCTCAGGGGCATTTAGGTGTCATTAATGATGGTGAAGCAGTTCACAAAAGGGTAGTGACGGTGGTCACACAACATGCACGATACAATCAGTCACACGATTATACACGTAGAAACTGTGGGATCAGTGAATGTTGGTTTTGTGTCTTTTCATCATGATTTTTGTTAAAAAACCCTAAGAGGTACAGTTCCACTCTGACACCTGTGGGGTTGCCAGAAGTCCGGGCCAACAGGGCAACCAGCTTGGTTTGGGATAATGCACAAAGGTCGGCTTCCATGGATTTGGTTTTGGATGATGCATAAAAGTTGGCTTCCAAGGATTTGGGAAGCTGACCTCAGCAGTGGACCCCTCTTTTATTAAAGAAGCCTGAGACTGTAAAAAATCTTGCCTCCCTCCCCTCCCTTCTTCCTCCACAAGGGCTTTCAAGTCAGTGTGCTTCAAGAATGAAGGGTGGCTGTTCAGAAGGTGGGGGAAGCTCACGGCCAGAGCATAAGTTCTTACAAATCCAGGGGCTGGACGCGCCTTGCTTGTTTACCTTTGGCCTTAACCAACAGGGCAGGGAGCAGGCTCCCCTACCCTACCCTTGGGAGACCGCATCTAGCAGAAATGGTTTTCCAAACAGAGTAAGTGTTTCAGTGGATGTAGGGAAAGAGAGGAGGCCCAGGGTGGGACAAATGGCTAAAGGGGTTAGCTTTAGGGGTTCAAGGTCACCCAGAGGTGCTGAGGAAGAAAGGCCTAGTGATCAATTTCTGAAAGGTCAGCCACTGAAAGCCTATGAAGAGTCTTCTCTGACAAACACAGGGTCACCATGTGTTGGAGTCAACACAGTGATACCGGCAGGAAGGAGAGGGGGAATGGCTCCTCCTCCTCAGGGCCAGTCAAATAGCTCCGTGTTACATTTCTAGTTAAAGCAGGCTCGTTCCTTCGAGCAGGCCAGAAGCTCCAATATGCAGAAAATTTAGTCCCTGACATCCTGGCCCACACGCCTCGGGCCACCAGAAACCACTGGGGCTACTGGCCACCCCCCCGAAGCTCTCACCTTCATCCAGGTTGCCGATCACAGCCTGCTTCTTCAGAAAGTCATTGCACAGCTTCTTGTTCAGCCCGAAAGCCAGCATGTTGTGCGTGAATGTACTGCGGGAGAAAACACCCTTGAGCCACTGCCCTCCTGCCTCCCGGGGAAAGGGCACCTGGGAGCCTGTCCAGCAGGCAGCTGCCTGAGATTGTTAGCAACAAATAAAAATAACTCGCTACCTAATTAGCCAGTCAACAGTGCTCAGCATGAAACCACCCGCCCCAGGTGCTATCTGAGGAGGCTGCATTAATTAGGAGCTGGAATCGAGGCCAAATGTAATTAAGGACATACTTCGGAGCAGCCTCCGAGTACACACATTGTGACCACCTGCTGGCGTGTCATCAACGCGTCCCATTATCAAGGACAGCTGACACAGAAAGCCCAGATGAAGCGAGACCTCCCTGCACGTGGTAGTCCTGTGCCAGAGCGGCAGGCGGAGGGTGGCCTCGCTTCCCATACCCCCACATATGCCACACAGGAAATCCCGTCGGGGTCCCACTCCCCACTAACCCTAGCCGGTGACTGCAGTGCCTCAGCGCTGCCTGCCGGAATTCTAACTGCACAGGGCACCCGTGATGCTGAGCGCGGCAGGGGCCTGCCTGGGAGGGCGGGCAGGGCTGCCTGCCGCCTCGCTGGCCCTTACCCCAGCTGTCCAAAAGTGATGTTCTCATTGAACCGCAGGCTGTCGTCACGCTCCTCCTGGGTCATGTGGCACCACTTCTCCCTGCAGGCACAGGAGCGACAGGACGGGGCATTTAGGGAATGCATCCCCACTCCCCCTGCCAGATTCACAGATGTAAAGACATCAAGCCAGAAAGGGGGTGGAGCCTCTCCACCCAGGTACTGCGTCTCCACATGTTGTCCACAGGGCCCAAGTGTAGATTCATTTATTTCCTTCTTTCTAGATCCAATGCTAACACTCCCCACTGATGCGTTGGGGACCTGTGCTGGGGGGTTGCCAAAACATTCTTTAGGAGACAGTACCACCAGCACCATGTCCTTACCTGGGGGTTGGATGACACGAGGGCCCGGGCCCATGTGCCAGGGGCAGAACCTCCAGTGCACGCAATGACTGGGGGGGTCCGGAACCTGGGAGAAGGCTCTCAGTCCTGCCCCTGTGTTTCCAGGCCACACTGGCCCTTCGGTGCGGCATGTGTGGTCACATCTGGCATCTTCAGGCTGAGCTGCAGGCTGAGGAGGCTCGGGAGCCAGGGGAGGTAGCTGGGCTCTGCGGCCACATCTCTCTTCTATCAAGCACAGGACTGCCCTTGCCCTCACAGCCTTCTCCACCGATGCCACCTGCCCACCCCGCTGCCCCAGCCTGGCAACTCAGGAAAACCAGTCCTGCCATGGAGGCTGGAGAACAGAGCACTGAAACCCCACTGAGACATGAATGGTGTCTGTGGGGGGTGGTGCAGTTGAAGGCCCCAACAGGACTTTACGTTTGCAGTGGAGAGACACTGCAGAGCAGAGGATCTGGGGTGGGGAGGGTGCTTGAGGGACCCGTGCCCTTCACAGGCTTCGAGGGAGCAGTCTGAATTCTCCACATTTCCACAAGAAGAAACGCCACTGCCCAGCATGACAGCGCCTCCCGTCAGCTCACATAGAGAGGCAGCACCAAGGCGGTGCTGCCGCCTCCCTTCCCACAGGCAGGGTAGGACACTCCAGGTGGAACTGTGGGTCATCCCCACACTGCACCTTCCAAGGTCCCCTTGGAACCCAGATGACATCATGTCTGAGTGCAGGAGCAGTGCGGACAGTGCATGTCAGTTTAGCTCATTTCACCCCTAAAAATAAAACTCTGTATGAGTAAGGCTGACTGAAAAAAGGTTAAGAGACAGATGAAAGTAAAGTGAAGACAAAGAGTGTGAGAGGGTGAGGGGTTGGGGATAATGGAAAAGCCAGAGAAAGAGAAACAAAATAAAAGAACAAATTCTTAACTCCTGGCCCCCAGGATATCACTGGGGTTGCTGCAGCTTAGTAGGGGGACACAGGACATCAGAGGAGTCACTGCCCATTTTGTCATCAAGATGATGACGTGGTAACGCACGAAAATTCCCCACAATGTAATATTCTTCTGGGTGCTTTGCTAAGTCCCATACCGTTTTCCCTCCCTACCCTCTTCCCCCATGTTCACCCTTACGACTGTGCAGGCACACACACTCCCGCTGTGTGCACCTGAGCAGGCTGGGTGCTGCCCCCCCACACACACCACAGGGGAGCAGACCCTGAGAGGTGTGCAGAGCCTGGCCCCCAGCACTGCAGGTCTTGATGTGGAGGCAATTCTCTTTCTTGCTTTGGCTAGAATTCCAACAGAGACATTTACCCTGACCTCTGGAGAAAGAAGTGGAAGGTCACTAGCAATTAGCAGAGCCCACAGTGCCTACAATCAAATCTGTTCCTTCGATCTGAGTTCAATACCCAATACCACTTGAGGTCCAATATCACACAGTAACTGAACGTGGCTCTAATTTGCCAAAGAAGAAATTTGGAAGTGATCAACACCTTGCTGAAAGGGAAGCCTGACAGACAGCGACTTCATGAAATGGCATCTATTGTCAGCAGGTGTTACGCAAAAAGAGAAACCATGCCGGAGGCATGAGCTCGCCTGGGGACCTGGGTGCACTCTCTCTTTCCTACCCCACCCCCACTGGTGTCCAAGAACACGCCCCTCTCTTTGGCTGAGGCTCAGGGGTAACTGTGAGTGTCTGGGGCAGGTCAGAGATAAGACTGCATGGGATCATATGTGGTTCCATGACTTTTGCTCTCAAGAGAGTAGGCCCATGAGGCCAAGGAGGCTGGCTGTCCACTGGGCCAGGCCCAGGACAGCTCCCCTTCCGGCAGCAGCATTCTCCAGCTTGGAAGAGAAACTCCTTCCTCTGTGGGCCAAGGCTAGCTGTGGTAAGAGGCTTTGCTCCTGGGAAGACTGGTTAATCCTGGTATCACCCAAGCAGACTGTGGGGACTTAAGGAACTTTTTTAAAAGGAGGTATTTATTATACCTAAATGCTCTGTTAAAGACCTTAACCATCATGAGGCTACCTAATAAGTAACAATTCAAAAAAAAAAAATCACCCACTGCTATTGAGTTTTGCCACTCCGACTCACAGTGACCTTGTAGGACAGAGTAGAACTGTCCCAGAGGGTTTCAAAGGCTGTAAATCTTTCTGGAAGCAGACTGCCTCATCTTTCTCCCTTGGAGTGGCTGTTGAGTTTGAACTACCGACCTTTAGGTTAGTGGCTGAAGGTGTTAACCAGTGCACCACCAGAGTGCTCTGAGAAGCGGCAATCAGCAGTAAGCCCTGCAGACGCATCACTGATTACAGGAGACACAGTTCATGAAATTTTCACTGGGGGAAAATGACTATTAGTAATTATAATTTGAATTGGTAGATCTTTAACACTTAAACAAAAAAACAAAAGGTCCTGCTGGTGCAGTGGTTAAAGTGCTCAGCTGCAAACTAAAAGGTCAGTGGTTTGAACCCACCAGCCACTCCACAAGAGAAAGACGAGGTAGCCTGCGTCCATGATGATGTGTAGCCCTGGAGACACTAGGGTGCAATTCTACCCCGTCCTTTAGGTTGCTGTGAGTTGGGATTGACTTGGTGGCAGTGGGGTGGGTTTGCTTTGGTTCTGGTTAAACTCTTAAAATATATTACAAAGGATAACTAACAAAAGCAAAGCTTAACCAACTAGGAGGATGAGCTAAGAGTCTCTAACAACAGTAGAGAATTTTTCTTTCCTCAGAATTCTCGTGACCAGTGGGAGCATTTTTCGGCCCATTTGGAGACAGACACTTGAGAAGGGGAAGCCCCTGGTACCCGTGTCAACAGCAAATTAGACAGGGAGAAGCCACCCCCTTACGAGCATTAACCAAAGGGATGTGGTAGGCTGGCACCTGCCCAACAAACACATCAGAACCTGGAACTATTTAGAAAAGATTTCCTTTGGACAGTTGTCTTTCCTTGTTCCTATCGGTGTTCTGTGGCCTTACAAAGACCACCGAGCGACTGTGTGCATGTGTGGGGCTGGGTGGGGAAGGAGGCAGTTAGACAGTCGCTTTCATGAAACGCCATGCTATAATGTACATATATTTTGAATAAAGTTCGAGTTCTTCCAGCTTCTTTGACTCATTTCTCACCAAGTCCTCAGCACTAAACATTAGCAATTCCAAAACACCTGGACATGCAGTGTTCTCCCCCTTCAGTCACGGCTTGCACAGTTTACTTAGTCCACATGGATGAGCGCATCACCACCTACAGTTCTAGAGCCCTCGCCCTTGGTGCACTACCCCCTCCACCAGGACAGTCAGATCCCACTGTGGGACCACAGGAAAGAACTCGACTCCAGGGCCTCGTCTTGAAAGGGACCCCACATTACCACGTGACTGGAAGAGAGGGAGCAGCGAGCGGTCCTCCTTCCAGCCCCATCGCCCCATGACTGGGGCCTCCCAACCACCTATGAGATCGAAGAGGCTGAGGCCCAGCTGTGAGGCGACTGGGAGGGGCAGAATGGCTGGCACCTGAAGTAGACCCCACCCTCATGCCCTCTCCCCGGCTGAGTCGCCCTGTACTTCCTGTTAGAGCTCCAGGAGTCACATGTGATTTCTAACTATTTCCAGGTGCAACGCCGTGGGGCGCACCTGCAGCTGTGACGGCCCCCCAGGAACACTGGTGCCTCTGATAGACTAGATGCCATGCTGGGGCTCTGCCCTCTGCAGCGGCTCCACACGCAGCCCCCGCCCTCGGTGGCCCTCGAGTGACCCCACAGCACTGTACAATGGAACAAAGTCAGGGGGACACACACACCTCTTGTCCTCCTCCTCTCCAGCCTTCCCTCTGGAGCGGCAGCAGAAACAGGTAAACAAAGAACATGTCAGAGTCATGCAAGATATGTGGATGGAAAAGAGAGCAGCTGAGAGGACGAGAGCACCACAGGCAGGGCGAGAGACAGGGAGACAGCACCGAGTCAGCTCACCTTGTGGAGGGCGAGCCCAGCCGGCGGCAAACCCCGTCAGCCGGAAGCCCCCGAGCGGTCCCAGGACCTTCTTTTTACCCTGCAGAGCACCCCCCGTCTCTAGAGTCCTCTGCCGTAGAATCCCAGCATCTTCCCACCCAATTCCTCATGCCCGTGACAGCATTAGCTGCCCCCAAAAGAAAGAGTTCACTCAAGACACTCCCAAATGCTGGTGGCCAGGGGTCTTTATGCAAAAGGCAGTCATGTGCTTTCTCTCCTGCTGGGTAGAAAGATGAGGGAATCTCCATGATGGAGGGGCGGCGACTTCATTTTATTAATGGGGAAACTGAGGGTCTGTGAGGTTCAGAGACTCTTCAAAGTCACATGGCAAGCCAGGCCAAGAAGGGGACCCAGCGTGGCCCTGCCCAGCCTGGCTCTCTCTGCTGGGTGCTCACTGCCACTTGCCACAGTGGGGGCATCTTCCCTTGTGACGGCCAGAGAGAAAGCCAAGCATCCACCCATGGTCTCAAATGCCAACCCCTCCATGCCACCATATGCTGTCTGAGCAGGCTGAGGAGGGGGTCTTCTCACACGGCCAAAGGGGCCCCGGTGAGGCTGGGGAGGCTGCAACGACTCCGAAGAGCTCAAAGGAGCAGCAGGATCTCCACTGCATTGCCTCGAGAGCAAGTTGGGGTGGGCTGCCAGCACCCCCCACAGGTTCTGCCACCCCAAGGTTCTGACAGTGAGTAAGCAGGGCTCCTGGGGGTCCTGCTGGCTCATTCGGTGGGACTGTGCATTTCCCAGGAGGATCAGGCCAAGTCATGCCAGTGCCCAGGGCAGAAAGCACTCATGCAAGCGACTCCCCCGCCCACAAAGCTGCACGTCCCCAGGACCCTCGGGCAGCTTGCAGGGTGCCAGGGCAGGAGGGGTGAAGGGAAACAGGTGCACACTGACGCAGCTGCTGCTCTGCTTCCTCCTCAGGGACAGGAATGTGGAGCCCCTCCCCGGTCATCTTTCCTGAGGCCAGGCTGTAAGGCACATGGCTCCTACCTGGTGGTGGGAGACCGTTTTCTTCTCTCACAATGGACAGCATCAAAGAAGGCGGCATTCCAGAACCTCAGGGTGTGCCTACAGACAGAGGCAGGAAAGACACAGGTCTCAAGCCCCCATTTGCGTGACTTGCTTTACCCGAAATACAGGAGGCTCCCTGGGGTTCCGAGCACAAGAGCACTACTAGTATCTGCATATATCCCTTAGTACAGAAGGCAAAAAATGGCACAGAAAAGCATGAGTGAAGTTGAAATGCACTGTGAGGAAGAGGACGGAGCTGGTGAACTTTGGGATTATCGGGCTGGAGCTGAGGCTGCAGAGGGAGGTGAGTTCTGCCTCTCTGTTCGGTTGAGACTCCCAAGAGTAAGCAGAGGGTCTGAGAGGCCTGCTTTTCCAACAGGGTCTATTACCATGAGTGGGACTGGCAGGGACACACGTTGTGCACAGAGAACAAGCAAGTTTACAATGACACACAAGTAAGACAAATTCTTCTCCAAGATCAGGGGATGGCAAACTGGCCTGTAAAGAACACTAGGACACAGCCATGCACGTTCACGCACATACTGTCTGGGGCCGCTTTGGGGCCACTTTGGCAGAGTGGCATAGCTGTGTCAGAGAGCACATGGCCCTCCAAGCCTGAAACATGTACTCTCTGGCTCTCTACAGAGTTTGCAAGCCCCGTTCCTGCTAAAAAGACAAAGGCAAAGCCAAGGGCCAGAGAAGCTGGGCTAAATCAGTAGACACTTGGGCGGGATTGGCTTCTCCCTTCTCTCTGCTTCTGCTTGAGCTGGTCCCCGGTTCAAGTGCTCCCTCCTTCTCAGGGTCTTCCTGACAGCTTCCCGAACTCCTGAAGCCATTCACATGGCCCTCTCTCTGATATGGGACCTTCGAGGCACGGAGTGTGTCTGACATCCCCTTGGACTCCAGTGCTGGTCCAGCACCTTACTTGTGAGTGAACACATTAGAACGTGGTGATGGGAAGCTTTGCAGTTAGGAAAACATTGCTATCACCTGCAGAGCAGGGCAGTGCACAGGCTTCCCCGGCCCACTGACCTCTCACCTCAGCATGACCTTCATTTATCTATATAATAACTCAAGTGAGTGTAAAGAGTTCTGTGGTGCAGTGGTTAAAGCACTAGCAGTTCAAACCGACCAGCTGTTCCATGGGTGACAGATGAGGCAGTCCGCTTCCATAAAGATTTATAGGCCTAGAAACCCTATGGGGCAGTTCAACTCTGTTCTATAGGGTTGTTATGAGTCAGAATTGACTCGCTGGCAGTGGGTTTGTTGTTGTTTTTTTACTGAGTGTCTTAGTTGCTGCTGTAACAGAAATACCACAAGGGGATAGGGTGGGTGTAACAAACAGGAATTTATTCTCTCACAGTTCAGGAGGTTAGAAGTCCACATTCAGGGCACTGGCTCTCGGGCAAGGCCCTCTCTCCAGCTTTAGAGGAAGGCCTTTGTCTCTTCAGCTTGTTCCTGGTTCCCTGAAGACCTCCATGGGGCTTAGCATCAATGGTCCCCCTCCTCTGCTGCTTTTGCTTGCTAGTTTAATCTCTTCTGTATCTCAAAAAGAGACTAACTCAAGAGACACCCAACACTAATCCCACCTCATTAACATAACAAAGACAACCTATTCTCAAATGATAAACACGAGCATAGAGGTTAGGATTTACCACACGTATTTTTGAGGAACATGATTTAGTCCATAACATTCTACCCTTGGCACCCAAAAAATTCATGTCCTTGACACATGCAAAACACAGTCACCTCAACACATCATCCCACAAGTTTTAAGTCAACTCCAAGTCCAAATTCCATCCTGGGGCAAAATTCCTCTTCATCTATGAACCTGTGAAATCTAAATACAAGTTATCTGCTTCCAGAGTACAATGGTGGAACTGGCACAAGGTCGACGTTTCCATCACAAATGGGAGAACTTGGAAGGAGAGAAGGATGGCAGGCACCAAGCAGGCCCCAAGCCCAGCAGAACAGTTTACATTAGTTCTCAAGGCTTGAAAACAGTACTCTTGTCTTTGGGACCATCTAGGCAGTGGCCCCACCCTCAAGACTCTAGATGTTAGTCACAGCCTCTGGATTCTGGGTGGAGGCGCCTTGGCCCTGGGCTTCAGCTCTGCCTTCCAAGTCCCTGGGGAAGGTAACTCTGCTCCCCTGGCTTCAGTAGCCCCATTCTCCTAGTCCATCTGAATGGTGAACTCATTCACTCCGCCCCGGCAGGCTCCATTCTTCTGCCCCTTGGGCATGGTAGCCCTACGTCCTCAGCTCTGCATAACAGCCTCATCCCCTTGGCACACCTTAAGGGAAGCCCCAAACCCCAAAACTGAGTTGGCGAAAGACTCTTTGAAACCTAGGAAGCTGTGGTGCCACCCTTTGAAACCGAGAAGACCCTGTTTCCTAGGCTCCTTCCTGATCAGAGCTCTGCTGATCTCTGAGTTTCTCCAGGGAAGGTTCTCTTCTTTTCTCAGAGGAAAACAGAAATAGCTCCTTTGGCCTGTTTCCTGCCTGTAGAAATCCAACAGACAGTGTTCTTTCCTTTCATTCTTTTCCTGTCCCCTTCAGTCTAAGCTGATGGGTTTTCTGCTGTGATATTTGGTGAGATCTACAAGCTTAATCTCTATAACAAAAGATGTGTAGCCACATCCTTGGTGATCCAGGACATGCGTCCTTACTTTGTACAATGGAATTTTCCAAATCTTTAAGTTCCATTTTCATTTTGCACATTTCAGTTTTAAGTCCCTGTCTTCCCTCTCACATTTTACTCTAAAAGGCAAGGAGAAACCACACGCCCCTTTTAAGATCTTGCTCAGAAATCTCCTCAGCCAGATATTCAAGTTCATCACTTAAAACTTCTCCCTTCCACTAAGCATTTAACATAATTCCGGTAAGTTCTGTGCCACTGCGTGAAAAGTATTACCTTTCTTCCATTGTTCAATCACATGTTCATCATTTTCTTTTAAAGTCTCACATGGAGCACATTTAACATCCACATTTCTAGCAGCATTCTGGCACCACACATATTCCCTAAGGGGAGAGACACTTTCTCTATAGCTGTCCTCACTTCCTCCTGAGCCCTCACCAGAATTGCCACTGACATCAATAATTCAACCAACAGTCTCTTCAAGGCAATGTAGGCTTTTTCTATTAAACCTACTGCCATCAAGTTGGATCCAACTGACAGTAACCCCTCCTTGGGTTTCTGAGGCGATATCACTACAGACGTAGATTGCCCAACCTTCCTTCCAAGGAGTGGCTGGTGGGTTTGAACCACCAGCCTTCTGGTGAGCAGTCAAGTGCTTTAGGCACTATGCTACTAAAATTCTTTCAGCCTCCACTCATTACCAATTATTCCGTATTGTAGGTATTTGTTAGAACAGGACCCCACTCTGCCAGTACCAAATTCTATCTTAGTTCTCTAGTGCTATTGTAACAGAGGGAGCTCTGGTAGCATAGTGGCTAAGGCACTTGACTGCTAACCAGAAGGCTGGCGGTTCAAACCCACCAGCCACTCCTCGAAGGAAGGTTGGGGCAATCCTACTTCCGTAGTGATACTGCCTTGGAAACCCAAGGAGGGGTCGCTATGAGTCAGGGCTGACTCGACGGCACATAACAACAACAACAACATTGTAACAGAAATAGCACAGGTGATGGCTTTTACAAACAGAAATTTACTTTCTCACAGTTTAGGAGGCTAGAGCGCCATCTCCCGGGGAAGGCCTTCTCTTCCCGTTGGCTCTGGAGGAAGGTCTTTGTCTCCGCTGAGCTGCTGCTCCTAGGAGATCTTCCTGTGGCTTAGAATCAATCTCCCTCTGTCCCTGCTTCTCTCGCTTGTTTATTCTCTTTTATATCTCAAAAAAGATGGACTCAAGACACACCCTAAATTAATCCTGTCTCATTAACATAACAAAGATAACCCATTCCCAAATGGGATTATAGCCAAAGGCATAGAGGTTAGGATTTACAACACATATGTTGTTATTGTTGTTATTAATGAGCTGATAAATTGGACCCGACTTATAGCGACCCCTCCTTGGGTTTCTGTAGCAGTATCACTATGGAAGTAGATTGCCCCATCTTCCTTCCAAGGAGTGGCCTGTGGGTTTGAACTGCCAGCCTTCTGGTTAGCAGTCAAGTGCCTTAGGCACTACACTACCAGAGCTCCCTAAGAGGTGGCCCGGCTACCTGGTGGGGAGCAGCTGGTGGGTTTGAACCGCCAACCTTGGGTGTGACAGGTAGCTGCCTGAGGCCTGAGGCCATCCCCTAGGGCCACACATATTTTAGGGGGACACAATTATAATTTCTCATAATACTGACTTACATAATACTGGGTCATATACCATAAAATTCACCCTTTTGAAGTATACAATTCAGTGGTTTTGAGTACCTTAACAATATTATATGACCATTATCGCTAATTCCAGAACATTCTCATCACCCCAAAAGAAAACTCTGTTCTCATTAGCTATAACTCTTCGATCCCCTGCCTCCACCCCCTGGCAACTGCTAATCTGCTTTCTGTCTCTATGGTTTTGCTGTTCTTGATATCTCTTATCAATAGAATCATACAATACATGGCCTTTGGTGTCTGGCTTATTTCACTCACATAATGTTTCAAGATTTACCGAGTTGTAGCATGCATCAGAACTTATTCCTTTTTATGGCCAAATAATGTTCCATTATAGGAATATACATAGTTTTTTCATTCATCAGTTGATGGATACTTTGGTTGTTCCTGTTTTAGGCTATTGTGAATAATGCTGCTATGAATATTCTTGTACAAGTTTTTGTGTGGATGTATGTTTTCATTTCTCTTGGATATATACCTAGGAGTAAAATTTCTGGGTCATATGGTAACTTTGTTTAGTCTTTTAAGGAACTGCCAGACTGTTTTCCACAGCAGCTGCACCATTTTGCAATCCCACCAGCAATGTAAGAAAGTTCCACTTTCTCACCTCCTCATCAACACCTGTCATCGTCCATCTATTCTTAACCATTCTAGTGGGTGTGAATAACTTTCATTTTTATGGAAACAGAAGAGCTAGGAAATGATCCTGAAGGGAAGCCGGTTGCTGCCCTACAGGTGAGATAGGGATGGAGCAGCTCCTGGCCAGGGCTTACCAAATGGGCTGCTGCTTCAGGTGTGTGTACAAGTAGATCTTCTCCCCCTTCTTCTCCTCTTCCGGACCACACACGGTCACTGTGGGATGAGGGAAAGAGACTGAGGGGCTCTGATGTGCACACGCACGTTAACAAAGCCCACCACCAGAGCCTCCCAGCAGCCATGTCTTCTTCTACCAGTCGAAGCAAAGGTCATAATATGAAACAAGATCTGAAGCAATCCACACAGCTTCTCTGCCTCACAGGATGCTGCTGCTCACCAACTGTTCATAGGGACTTCTTATTAGGACCAAGTTAGGTCTGTGGCATGTCTGACCTCCCACCCCAGTAAGGCTTGACTAGAAAAGTGGCTCTTCAATGGAAATACAGAGCAAATACAGACCACCGGAGCTAGAAAGTAACTCAGGGATCAGCTGAAGCAACACCCTCATGCCACAGAGGACAGCGAAGCCCAAAGGCACTCACGACTTGGGTTCAACTGCTATTTAACGGTGGGCTGGTTAGAGCCCCGTGAGGACCTCGGTTAGAAAGACCAAGGAGGGCTCTGCTGTGGTTGCCAAGTCATCTATAGAGAACGGCAAAGGCCCCTCCTCTTTGGACCCCAAGAACACGGAGGAGGCATCTGTAAGTGAAGACCCACTTACCCATCTTCTGCTGCTTCTCCTTGGGTTTGTCGTCATCTTCCCTGAGGGAGAGAAACCGTAGCAATGACAGGCCTAACCCACACCAATGAGCTCAAACCACATTTTCTTAAGTCCAAGGGAACAGTTTACGTTTCTGAGATAGCATGTCTTATAGGCCATGTGTAAATTTAATGTAGTTTTCTCTGAAAAATCTGTCCTAGATTAATGTTGACACCTGTCAATGGCCAGAGTGTAGAATTTGAGCAGACATGATATTTAGCCTTTTTGGGGAGCATTTTAATCTTTGTTACGTGTACAATTCAGTGACTTTAATGACACTCACCATGTTGTGCAACCATGACTGCTATACATTTTCAATTTTTTCATCAACTAGAACAGAAAATCAGGGCCCCCAAGCAATAACTCCCCATTTCCCTCTCCCCTAATCTACTTTGATCTCTGTGCATTCACCTCTTTTGGACACTCCATGTAAGTGGAATCACACTATTTGTCTTTTTGTGTCTAGCTTATTTCACTCAGGATCATGTCTTTAAGGTATTTAGGCTTCCTTCTGCCATTTTCTCTGAATCCATACTGTACACCTCAGAGGAGGCATAAGCCAAAATGTCACCATTGTTGTTGTTAGGTGCCGTCGAGTCGTTTCCGACTCATAGCGACCCCATGCACAGCAGAACGGAACACTGCCTGATCTCGTGCCAGCTCCAAGATCCCTGCTATACTTGAGCCCATCATCACAGTCACTGTGTCAATTCATCTCACTGAAGGCCTTCCCCTCTTTCGTCGACCCTCCACGTTACCAAGCATGACATCCTTCTCCAGGGAATGGTCCCTTCTGACAACATGACCAAAGTAGGTGAGACGAAGTCTGGCCATTCTTGCTTCCAAGGAGCATTTCGGGTGCACTTCCTCCAGAACAGATCTGTTGGTTCTGTTAGCAGTCCATGGTACTTTCAGCATTCTTTGCCAGCACCACAACTCAAAAGCATCAACTCTTCTTCAGTCTTCCTTATTCATTGTCCAGCTCTCACATGCATAAGAGGCAACTGGAAATATCATGGCTTGTGTCAGGTGCACCTCAGTCCTCAAGGAGACATCCTTGCTCCTCAGCACTTGAAACAGTTCCTTCGCGGTTGACCTTCCCAGTGCTACACGCCATCTAATGTCCTGACTGCTGCTTCCATTGGCATCGAGTGTAGAACCAAGCAACATGAATTCTTTGACGACTTCAATCTTCTTTCCATTTATCATGATGCTGCTCATTGGTCCAGTTGTGAGGATTTTTGTTTTCTTTATATTGAGATGTAATCCACACTGCAGACTGTATTCTTCAACCTTCATCAGTAAGTGCCTCAAGTCATCCTCACTTTCAGCAAGCAAAGTTGTATCGTCTGCGTATCTCAGGTTGTTAATGATTCTTCCTCCAATCCTGATACCACGTTTTTCTTTATACAGCCCAGCTTCTCGGATTATTTGCTCAGCATATAGATTGAATAACTGTGGGGAAAGGATACAACCCTGACACACTCCCTTCTTGATTTTAAACCATATAGTGTTCTCTTGTTCCGTTTGAACAACAGCCCTGGTCAAGGTACAGGTTCCTCGTGAGTACAATCAAATGTTCGGGACCTCCCATTCTTCTCAATGTTATCCATAATTTGTCATGATCCAGACAATCAAATGCCTTTGCATAGTCAATAAAACACAAGTAAACATCTTTCTGGTATTCTTTGCCTTGAGCCAAGATCCATCTGACAACAGCTATGATATCCTTTGTTCCACGTCCTCTTCTGAATCCAGCTTGCACCTCTGGAAGTTCTCTGTCAATATACTGCTGCAAACGCTTCTGAATTATCTTCAGTAAGATCACACTTGTGTGCAATATTGATGATATTGTGCTATAATTTCCACATTCTATGGGATCACCTTTCTTTGGAATGGGTACAAATATGGATCTCTTCCAGTCAGTTGGCCAGGTAGCTGTCTTCCAAATTTCTTGGCATAGCCGAGTGAGTGCCTCCAGTGGGGCATCTGTTTGTTGAAACATCTCAATGGATATTCTGTCAATTCCCGGAGCCTTGTTTTTTGCCAATTCTCTCATTGCAGCCTCAACTTCCTCCTTCAGTACCATTGGTTCTAGATCATATGCCACTTCCTGAAATGGATGAAGATTGACCAGTTCTTTTTGGTACAGTGATTCTGTGCATTCCTGCCATCTTCTCTTGATGTTTCCTGCATCATTCAATATTTTGCCCATAGAATCTCTCAACTTGAGGCTTAAATTTTTTCTTCAGTTCTTTCAGCTTGAGAAATGCTGAGCGTGTTCTTCCCTCTTGGTTCTCAAACTCCAGGTCTTTGCACATTTCATTGTAGTAATTGGTTTTGTCTGCTCGAGCTGCTCTTTGAAATCTTCTGTTCAGCTCTGTTATCTTGTCATTTCTTCCATTTGCTTTAGCTGCTCTCCGCTCAAGGGCAAGTTTCAGAGTCTCTTCTGTCATCCATTTTGGTCTTCTCTTCTTTTCTCATCTCTGTAGTGATCTCTTGCTTTCTTCATGGATAATGTTCTTGATATCCTCTCACAATTCTTCTGGTTTTCAGTCGTTGTTGTTCAATGCATCAAATCTATTCTTTAGATGATCTCTAAATTCAGGAGGGATATATTCTAGATCATATTTTGGCTCTCTTGGACTTGTTTTAATAGTTGACCTTGCACAGTCCAGAGACTGCAGAAAGGGACAGATTCTCCCCTCACTCCAGTGCCCTCCTTTCATTTACCACATGCAAGTGCAGAGAGGGACAGATTCACCCCCCTCTCCAGCATCCTCTTTGTCACTCACCAAGCACTGGTGGGAAAGGGACAGGTTCCCCACCTCTGGTGGTGTCCTTGTCATTCCCCATGCTTGACTTTAACCTGACCTCTGTGTGTTACACCTACGTGATGCCCCCTCCCCAAGTCAGAGACACATACAGGCAATACTTACTCGTTTCTCTTCACCAGGGGCCCCTTCAGCTTGGTTTCCAGGCCCCCAAAGAAGCCCTTCACATTCTCAGTCTTTGCTGAGGTGTTCTTTAGGAGCCGCTCAGCAATGTCCTTCTTCTCCGCCAACCAGCTATTGGCAGATTTCAGGTACGAGTCTATGCTCCCTGCAGGCTTCTCCTTGGATTCTGAGGGAAGCAGGTGTGGCTTACCTTGAGAAAGAGAGGGTACTATATGTGCACAGGAGAAACAGGTGGCAAACAGAATCGCTTGTTAGTATGTCTCCTTCCTGGATCCCACTGCACAAGCCAGTAGGAAGCCAGAGACTCACTGGCTGCATAGGAAAGGCATGAAGGCTGGGGGCTCCCTCCTTTTCTAAGAGCAGTCATGAAGCACTTACTGGATACAAAGAGGTCAGCCAGGTACCATGAGGGAGAAGAGAACCAGGCAAGGACCCAGGCCTACAGCAGCACAAGGTCTGGTGGGGAGTTGAGGAAAGTGCACAAGTAGCTGCAGCGTGAAAGAAACAGCACTCTGTGTTGTAATGGAAATCCGGTGTCATCAGAAGATAGGAGCAAGCCAGACAGCCCCTGGACTGGCCAGGAAACAGGACACTGGAGGTGAGAAGATGGCGAGAGGACGGCATTCTGGGCAGAAGGGAGAGCATGTGCGAAGGCAGCACAAGGGATGTCCCTTTCTTGGGGTAGCACATGGCACCTACAGGAACCCTGGTAGTGCGGTGGTTAAGTGGTTGGTTGCTGATAGGTCAGCGGTTTGAACCCACCAGCCACTCTGTGGGAGAAAGATGTGGCAGTCTGTTCCTGTAAAGATTGTTGTTGTTGTTATGTGCCATCGAGTCAGACGTGACTCATAGCAACCCCTCCTTGGGTTTCTGAGGCGGTATCACTACGGAAGTAGATTGCCCAACCCTCCTTCCAAAGAGTGGCTGGTGGGTTTGAACCACCAGCCTTCTGGTTAGCAGTCAAGTGCCTTAGGCACTATGCTACCAGAGCTCCTCCTGTAAAGATTATAGCCTTTGAAATCCAACGGGGCAGTTCTACTCTGTCCTACTTGGTTACTAAGAGTTGAAATCTACTTGATGCCAATGGGTTTGGATGGGACCTATGGGTCGAGGCACCCTCTAAGGGTCAAGGCGCCCTGTGTGGATCAAGGTGACAAGTGATCTCTACTAGTGGAAGCTGTTCTGTGCACAGACCCTTCTCAGGCAAGCAGTCAAGTAGTTCTCAGAGATCCAGGAGCCACAGTTCATACTGGGGTTCCCCCCAACCCAAAGGCAGCCTATGAGTGCTGCAGCATGAATGACCTGCCTGTCAGTGGCACAGCTGGGGCAGTCTGGTGGCTGCAGCCTGCACAGCTGAGGGTGTGGAGAGGATGGGCTGCTGGTGGTGAGAAGAGGGTGAAGCTGACTTGCAGAGCGAAGGAGATTCACCATGGGAGCAGGCACATGGGTCATGTCATGGGTTTGCACAACTTTGTAGTACAAAGTTGGGGATAGAAAGTCCTCAAGCTCTAATGTGCCAGAAGATTCTGGGGATGAGCAAAGGAGATTTCACAGCCTCAGCATAAAGAAAAGCCTGCCCTGTTAGCAAGGGCCTCGTCAGCACAAATCTGAGAACTCTTCCCAGCCTAAGAGCCCACCTGCTTCTCTCCACCTCCCTGCACAGCCACCCATGTGCTGTCTTTGGCTAAAACATAAAACTGGCATCATCACACCCAGCAACTCCTGCCTCCTGCATCAAAGGTCCTGCCTAATGTGGTGATGTTCTCATTTCTTAAGAGCTTGGTGATTTCCTTTGTACCACGGAGTCCTCAACCCACAAATGGACCGTCTTCTCCTTCCATTTTAGGGGCTTTACTCTTTGCTCATGCCCTCCCTGATACCCACTTCCTTTGTGCTCTAGAAGTTCACAGGCATTGCCTTTAATCAAGAGGGAAGCTTCAGTTGCCCCCACACTGTAAGTTGGCAAACCTCATGCGTCAAAGCTAGCACTCCACAAAAAAACAAGCCCCACTCTTACCGAGGTGATAGTAGGTGAAACACATGGTCATGAGGTTCTTGGCGGGCCCAAAGTCATCCATCTGGTGACACCTGAAATGAGGAGCAAGGCTGGCTGGTTAACAAACTGCTCCACCCAATACCCTCACTGTGAATTAACAAAATGTTTCATATACTTGTGTGAATTAGTGCTTCACTCCCAAGAGGCCGCAAAAACAATCTCCCTTAGTCCAGTCAGTGAATTGCTCACAGACATGGACAGGTGTAGAAGGCTGAAAACTATAAAACTTTCACAGGCTAGCAGGCATCACGAAAGCAGACTTTAATCATAGTGACTAACTTGTTTTTCCTTCCCTTATCACTTTCTTCAAGTAAACAGAATAGCCAGACCCTTTCTACGGAGGCAGAGTTCTTTAGATGTGCTATTCCCAATTGCGTATTCTTTGAACCATAGACCACCCCACCACGGCTAGTTTCAGCTGAGAACCACAGCCTGTAACAAGATGACCCTGAGAGAGAAGACACCGAGCCTTGAAGCAACCAAGATATAGGAGAAACGGAGAGGTCCCTGGTGGAGCGAGAGGCCTGAGGGGCCACTCCCACACTCTCCCCTCCTGTGGAGCTAATCTCTCCAGGCAGGCATGAGGAACACCTCTCCTGACCAGGGACGGTCTCCTGTCACTGACTGGAAGAGGAGCCGGGAGGACACAAGACAACTGCCACCCATCCCACAACAGGAAGAAAACACAATCAGCATTCCCCAAGGCCCCCACCCCTCAGCTCAACTCCCTTTAAACCCTAGCCCTTCCCCAGCTCGGGGAGACAGGCATTTTGGAGAAGCGGTTCTCACTGTCTCCTTGGGTATCGATCAGCCTCTGGCTTTCCCGCTTCAGCCTGTCGTGACCACTGGCTCCTCATGATGGGGTGAGGCCTTTGCTTTCCTATGACACTAGGACCTGGGTCTGATTCTGGGCAGGTAGGAGCTTCATCTTCTGTTTCCATGCCCTCTTTCATTTTAAAGGTGGAAAGGCTAAGGCCCAGGAAACACAACACAGGGCAGAGACAGGACTAGAAGCCTGGGCTCAAGTCTCGGTCCATTGCCAATGGCACCAGGCCAGAGGCCCCCCATCACCTCCCAAGAATGAATAGTGAATAACATGATAAATTTCACATTGGTGCTCTCGGATATGAGCAACATCTGGATCCCCTGGAGAAACCTCTGATTCTGGAGGTCTGGGCTGTGACCTGAGAATCAGTATTTCTCCTCCCATCTCCCTTCTGATGCTGCTGCTGCTCCCGGGACCACACTTCGAGAACCACTGCATTATACACCCACTCCTCACTTATCAACATGGTTAGGCTGCAAACACCAGGTTGTGATGCAAAAATTGGCATTATGTAAAAACGGAGGCTGACCACATCAGATAACAAAATGGAGGCTGACCACATCGTAACATAACTGCCAGATTATATCATTACATATCTCCCAAACCATGGAGAACCACGGCCCAGCCCCTCTGGCACATAACCTCATCCGACACAGTCGGTGTTACTCTTGCCTTGTCCTGGGGCATTCATCACAGCCACATGCACATCATTAATGTGTAAAACAGTCAGTAGACTGTTTCCTATTGTTATAAATGCAAAATGCTGGACAGCAAGATAGCTTGTAAGTGAGGAGTAGATGTAGTACAAAGCTGGGGATAGAAATGCCAACCCACACTATGCCACTTGTAAAAGCCAATGAAATTATGAGATAAAATAAACATGTTTATATTGAAATGTTTTCTACAAATGTACAGTGTTATATTTAGTATTTTATGATATACAGATAGATTCATTCGACTTAGCAAACCAAAAATAGGGAGAAAGTTTAAAAAGGTCTTTCTCCACTACAATTTAATGACCACAGTTGTAAAGGCCACGATGACATCTACTGTAGCACTGCTAGTGAAAAAAGAAAATGAGGAGGAACAATCAACAGACTGAATTACAGCCCATGTGTGTATCAGAATAGCACACAGCCATGAAAAATGCAGAACCGAACAGGATGCCTTCTGTGGAAAAACATACGCGCAGTCCACCCTCACTATCCATAGATTCGGTTTGAAAACTTGCCTACTCAGTAAAATTTACTGATAAAACCCCACAGTCAATGCTCGCAGAGCTCTTCCGTCATCTGTGGGCATGCTCATAACCGCAAAATGTGCACCTCACCCTACGCACACACTCCCAGCCAAGGTCAAACCAGGCTGGCTAGGTTTTGCTAGCTCAGTGTTGGCAGTGACAGAGAACCCAATGACAGTGAATAAGAGAATCCCGCACTCGCTGGTCTGTTTGTGGTTAACGGGAGTCACCCTTGAGGAGATGAGCCAAAAGTGAGAGGGTGGGCAATGAAAGAGGCTTTCCTTTTCATGCTACAGCTCATGGCCCTGTCTTTACTTTTCCCTTTTACACTTTCCTTTCCTGTTTAGTTTTCAACCTTGGACAAATAGTAAAAGAAAAAAAATCAACAGAAATTACCCAGACAGTAGGAGTATGGGCCATTTTTATTTATCACATTGTTTTTATATTTTTAAAAAACTAATAACGTAAAGAACTAAACTACTAATAAAACTATAAAAGACTGAATAGTGGTAAAAACTAAAAACACTCATACACTAAAAATTATAAAACTCATGTATGTTAAAAATCAATAGCTTTTTTTTTTTTTTAATTGTGATTTGGGTGAAGATTTACAGAGCAAATTCACTTTCCATACAGCAGTTCACATACACTTTGTCTCATGACAATGACCACAGTTTACCACAATACATCAGCTCCCCTCCCACTTTCTCCCCATAGTTACCTCTTCCCAGTGTCCATCCCGCCATGCACTCCTGCCCCCTGAGCTGTCTCCCTATGCATAAGCAGCCCTTCTTTCTCCCATGACTGCTCTCTCCAAGGAGTGTATCTACTTGAGGTAAATGTTCCACTCATATGCCTGTCTTTTGTTTGGCTGGAAACCACAGATATGGGTTCAATTCCAGACCTGAAGGGCAGCTAGGGGCCATAGTCTCAGTGGTTCCACCAGGATCTATCGGACCAGCAAGCCTGGTCCCCCCCTCTTTTTTTTTTCTCCAAATGATTTTGAGTTTTGTTCCACATTGTTCTATCAAGGATCTCCTACATAGATCCCCTTCCAAGTGGGTGATAGTGGTAGCCGGGCACCATCTAGTTCTTCTGGTCTCATAGTCGTATAGGCTGTAGATTGGATGGTGTACCAGTCGCTAGGACTAATTGTTTCCATGAATTTTGGTTTTCTTCATTCTTCTTTGCTCTGGACGAGGAGAAACCCATCGTTGCATCTAGATGGCAGCTTGCTAGCTTTTAAGATCCCAGTGGTTACTCGCCAAAGTAGGAGGTGAAACAGTGTTTTGTATAGTATGTTATGCCAATTGAATAGCTTTTAAATATTAGAATGGTTTGGTTCCCCGCCCCCAAACCTACAAAAATACATACATTCACAAACTAAGTAATGGGAACTTTTTGTTTTGGTGGGCTCAGAACCTTAACTGAATTTTTCCTCTCAGTTTTGTTTCTTGAAGGAAAAATTGAAAATTGGTTAAGTATATTGGCCTGTGGGACAGGTGCAAATGATGCAAAATATGAGTTCATGAAAATTTCTATAGATACAAATGTTTGGAAATTGAGGTGTTTAAAATGCAGGCAAAAATGTTTAATCCAAAACAACGTGGGAGTGTCTTTTAAAATAGTTCCCAAAGTGCTTCAGGCTGAGGACGAGAGGACCTACCACTGCTGTTAGTGGACGGTTTCTTGTCCCTCCATCCTGGCTGGCTCTGAGTCCCTGATTCCCCAATGGGAAGCATATCCTGGGCTTTGAACACTCTGAGCAACTGCAGGAAAAATAGGGAGCCTCCTCTCTTTTGGTCTTTTCCCTCCATTTAGACCCATGTTCTAGTGACATAGTACCTAAGGCATCTGACTGCTAACCAAAAGGCTGGTGGTTCAAACCCACTAGACACTCCTCGGGAGGAAGACTGGGCAATCTACTTCCATATAGATACCGCCTCGGAAAACCAAGGAGGGGTCACTATGAGTTGGAAGCAACTCAACAGCAGTGAGTTTGGTTTTTTGGTTTTAGACCCATGTTCAAGGCGGACTAGAGAAAGATAAGGAGACATGAAGACACAGGACAACTGAGATCCAAGAAAGCAGCAGTTTCTCTAGAGAGAAGAAGGGGAAGAAATACCAGGGGATAGTTGTCCAGGCCTGGAAAGACAACATGGTCCCGTGACACAGGGAAGCAAAGGGGGGCACCCAGACACTTTGGGACAAGAGGGCAGGTGGGTGGAACCCAAGCTGCTGTCCCAACAGAGCCCCTCTCCTTTCTTCCCACAAGAGCCCCTATCCTGCTCTACCTGCTGGGCTGAGACTCGAGAATATTACTGCTACTTCTCAGCTTCCTCCAGGTATGGCCAGGGTGGAGGCGGAGAAGCATCCCTTCTGTTCCATATGTTGGAAGTCATGTCACCAACTCTGACTCTGACTCAAGGCCTAGGATGGTCATCCTAGAAAGTGGTGGGATGTTAGAGGAGAAGGGAGTTTGTCAGTCCTGTGTCCTGGTCTCTAATCTCACAGCTGAGCTCCCAGCTACACAGCACAGCTTTGGAGGGCTCTTTCAAGATGGAAGGGACAGTGGTGGCTTGGTGGCAGAGATCCTGCTTTTCATGTGGGAGGCCTGGGTTCCATCCCTGGTCAAGGCACCCATGCACAGCCACGATCCATCTGTCCGTGGAGGCCTGCATGGTGCTGCACTGCTCAACAGTTTCAGCAGAGCTTCCAGACTGAGATGGACTAGCAAGGAAGGCCGGTGATCTCCTTCCACCAATCAGCTGATGAAAACTCTTTGGATCCCAACAGTCTGATCCACAGGCGGTCACGAGGATAGCGCAGGAGCAGCGACGGTGCAAGCTTGGCTGGCAGCCCCACGACTCTGCACCACCCCACACTGCCGAACAGCACTTTGTGCGAGAAAAGGCTCCAGCGGTGCCTAATTCATACTCACAGGGTGTCTGATGTGGTCAGATTACATGGTTTTATTTATCTGCTGGTGGGGTGGGTGGTTACCTAGTTTGAGTCTTTCACAACAGGAAGTCAAGAACAGCTCAGATCCCAGCTGGAAGGGCCCAGGGTAAGCGCAGTAATCACTGCCTGTCCCTGAGGGCTGAGCCTGGCAGAATCTACTGCGCCCAGCTGCGCAGCCCCCTGTTCTCACTGTTGGGTAAAGGCTGCCAATTCTGCCTCCTTGGAACCCTGGTCCCAGAGGTCGATGATGACACATTGGAGCAGCTGCCTGCCAGGGACTAGTGTGAATCTTACAACCACGCTATTACAGGGCAGGGAAAGCTGTAAAGAAATACTTACTCAAACAACACCACCGCAAACGACTGCACCAGGCGGTAGAAGGTCGGCTCTGAGACGCACTTGGAGTTGCAGCGCTGTCAGAAAGAGGACAGACGGTCACCAGGGACGGCGGGAGGGCCATGCTGAGCTCGGCGGGGTTGGCATTGTGTGCTCAGCACTCTGACCCTCTCTGAGCACAACTAGGACAAAGGCCTGGACAGCCACATTCTGTCGCATTCTCTACAGAAAGCCACTGCCCCCTTCCGCCAGGGCTGCAGGCACCTTGGCACACTGACAGTGCAGTCACTCGGCAGATGTGAGCAGCCGTGCTCCTGGGTCATCTGCACAGCACTTTAACCAGTGGAAACTCCCTTCACTCCTGCACTTAGAAAAGCACGAGGGATGAAACGGAAGCTGACAACGCTGGCCAGTCCTGGATGGCGGGTTTGTCTCTTCCTTTACGCTTGTCTCCATTTTCTCATTTTTCTATGAAGAATGACTTATGTTTGTGAGAAATATTTTAATTAAAAACAAGAACGTATGCTACCTTACAGAAAAAGAGATTTACCCAAGTGGACTATCTTCAGCACTTGGTTAGTACACAACTCCTCTGCGTGGCTATTAGCTGTCTCGGATATATTATCTTTTGTAGAAATAGAATATTGTGGGTTACTTAATAAAGATATGGATGGACAAAGTCCACATAGTTGCCTTTAAAACAGTGATTTCCTGGTCATCACAAAAAATCACAAGACATATTGTACTGGGAAAATGTACTGCAAAAGACCTCTTTAAAGTGTTAAAGAGCAAAGATGTCATCATCTGTCATCAGCTGACAGACCACCACCTGCTCACTCACCTTTTGACAGTCTGGCACCCAGGTGAGCCAGTTCCATTCCCCACTCGTCTCCACAGTCCTTTTCACAGCATCTCTGGGTAAATTTTATACCTTTTTCTCTCAAGTCATTTCCCTGGACTGTTTTCTCCAGAGTAGAATTACAAGGTCAATTAAGGAGACAGGGAGTTGTTTCCTATTGCCTAGTCCTTGTGAGGGAACGCCCTCTCCTCCTGCCTCACTGTCCCCTCACCTGGGCACTCACGTATCGGGCAAACCACTCCCGGCCTTTCCCATTCTCGCCGCTGCAATACTCCCCAAACTTGGCTTTCTCCTCCTGGTCCAAGTCCTCCCTAGAAAAGAGCAAAAGGGGGAAAAAAAAAAAAAAAAACACTTTTTAACGCTTTTTCACTGCTGTTGTGACGTGCCATCAAGTTGGGTGTGACTCATAGCGACCCTATGGCCCTGTGCACAACAGAACGAAACACTGCCTGCTTATCCTCACAATGTTGCTATGCTTGAGTCCACTGTCACAGCCACTGTGTCGATCCATCTCACCGAGGGTCTTCCCCCTTTACGCTGACCCTCTACTTTACCAAGTATGATACTCTTCTCTAGGTATTGGTTGCTTTTAATAACATGCTCAAAGTACAAGAGACGAAGTCTGGCTATTCTTGCTTCTAAGGAGCATTCTGGCTGTACTTCTAACAAAGATTTGTTCGTTCTTCTGGCAGTCTGTGGTACACTGAATATTCTTTGACAACTCCACAATTCAAATGCATCAATTCTTCTGCAGTCTTCTTTATTCGTTGTCCAGCTCTCACATGCATATGAGGCAACTGAAAATTCCATGGCTTGGGTGAGGTACACCTTAGTCTTCAAAGTGACATCTTTGCTCTTTAACACTTTAAAGAGGTCTTTTGCAGCACATTTCCCCAGTGCGATACATCTTGTGATTTCTTGACTGCTGTTTCCATGGGCACTGATTGTGGATCTAAGTAACATGAAATCCCTGACAACATCAATCTTTTCTCCATTTATCATGCTGTTACTTATTGGTCCAGTTGTCAGGACTTTTCTTTATTTTGAGTTGTAACCCATATATGGAAGGCTGCAGTCTCTGATCTTCATCAGTAAGTGCTTCAAGTCCTCTTCATTTTCAGCAAGCAAGGTTGTGTCATCTGCATCTCACAGGTTAGTAATGAGTCTCTGATCCTAATGCCCTGTTCTTCTTCGTATAGTCTAGCTTCTCAGATTATTTATGTAGCATACAGATTGATTAAGTATGGCAAAAGGATACAACCCTGACACATATCTTTCCTGATTTTAAACCATGCAGTTATCCCCTTGTCCTGTTTGAATGATGGCCTCTTGGTCTCTTTACCGGTTCTGCATGAGTACAATTAAGTGTTCTGGAATTCCCACTCTTTGCAATGTTATCCATAATTTGTTATGATCCACACAGTTGAATGCCTTTGCATAGTCAATAAAACTCAGGTAAACATCTTTCTGACAGTCCTTGCTTTCAGCCAAGATCTAGCTGATATCAGCAATGATATCCTTTATTCCATGGCTTCTTCTGAATGTGGCTCAAATTTCTGGCAGATCCCTGTCAATATATTGCTGCAACCATTTTTTAAATTATCTTCAGAAAAATTTTACTTACGTGTGAAATTAACGATATTGTTCAATAATTTCCACATTCTGTTGGATCACTTTTCTTTGGAATGGGCACAAAATATGGATCTTTTCCAGATAGTTGGCCAGGTAGCTGTCTTTCAGATTTCAGATAAACAAGTGAGTGCTTCCAGCGCCACATCTGCTTATTGAAACATCTCAGTGGGTATTCTGTCAATTCCTGGAGGTGTGTTTTAAGCCAATTCCTTCAGTACAACTTGGAGTTCTTCCTTCAAAATCATCAACTCTTGATCATATGCTACCTCCCAAAATAGGTGAACATCAACCAATTCTTTTTGCTACAGTGACTCAGTGTATTCCTTCCATCTTCTTTTGATGCTTTCTGCATTGTTAAATATTTTGCCCATAGAATCCTTCAATATTGCAACTCAAGGCTTGATTTTTCCTTCAGTTCTTTCAGCTTGAGAAATACTGAACATGTTCTTCCCTCTGATTTTCAAATGCCAGGTCTCTGCACATTTCATTGTAATATGTTACTTTGCCTTCTGGAGTTGCCCTTGGGAATCTTCTGTTTAGCTCTTTTACTTCATCATTTCTTCCACTTGCTTTAGCGGCTCTCTATTCAAGAGCGAGTTTCAGTCTCTTCTGACAACCATTTTGGCCTTTTCTTTCTTTCCTGTCTTTTTAATGGCCTTTTGCTTTCTTCATGTATGATGTCCTTGATATCATCACACAACTCATCTGGTCTTCAGTCACTGGTGTTCAATGCATCGAATCTATTTTTCAGATGGCCTCTAAATTCAGGTGGGATATATTCATATTTTGGCTCTTGTGGACTTATTTTAATTTTCTTCAACTTCAATTTAAATTTGCATATGAGCAATTCAATTTATGGTCTGTTTCATAGTCAAGCCCTGGCGTTGTTCTGACTGATAATATTGAACTTCTCCATTGCCTCCTTCCACAAATGTAGTTGATCTGATTGCTGTGAATTCTATCTGGTGAGATCTGCATGTATAGGTCTTATTTATGTCGTTGTAAAAAGGCATTTGCAATGAATAAACTGTTGATCATGCAAAATTCTATCATGTGATCTCTGGTATCATTTCTATCACCAAGGCTGTAGTTTCCAACTACTGATGCTTCTTTGTTTCCAACTTTCACTTTGCAATCACCAATAATTATCAACACATTTTGATTGCATGTTTGGTCAATTTCATACTGTATAAGTTCATAAAAATCTTTAATTTCTTCATCTTTGGCTTTAGTGGTTGGTGCTTAAATTTGAGTAATAGTCCTATTAACTGGACTTTCTTGCAGGCATATGGATGCTATCCTATCACTGACAGCATTGTACTTCACGATAGATCTTGAAATGTTCTTTTTTCATGATCAACACACCACCATTCCTCTTCAATTTGCCATTATCGGCATGGTAAAACATATGATTGTCAGAGTCAAAATAGCCAATACCAGTCCATTTCAGCTCACTAACACCTAGGTTGTTGTTGTTGTTGTTGTTGTTTGCCGTCGAGTCGGCCCTGACTCATAGCGACCCCTCCTTGGGATTCCGAGGCAGTATCACTACGGAAGTAGGATTGCCCAACCTTCCTTCTGAGGAGTGGCTGGTGGGTTTGAACCGCCAGCCTTCTGGTGAGCAGTCAAGTGCCTTAGGCACTATGCTACCAGAGCTCCCAACACCTAGGTTAGGGATCTTTATGTATTCCATTGCATTTTTTTTTTTTTTTACAACTTCTAGTTTTCCTAGATTCATACTTCACATATTCCACATTCTGATTATTAATGGATATAGCCGTTTCTTCTCATTTTGAGTCGTGCCCTCTCTTTTCTCTTTTAATGCTTTGGAGGAAGAGAAGAGAGAGGGTACCAACAGGAATTACCCCAGACCCCAGCCAAATGTAGACACTTGGAATCACACCCATCTCTCACCCGGGCAGCAAACTTACGTGGAAACAGAGTTCTGTGTTAAGATGCAGAGTCTGGCTCTGCGAATCACGCTCAGCTACAGAGTGGAGAGCCAGAGTGCCATCCGGCTATCTGGCTCCACAGCCCATTCTTTTCTCCCTCATCCCCTGCCTGTCAACAAGGCCCAAGCACGGGTGAGGGTGCCACCACCGCAAGAAGGCTTTGTTCTTCGGCTCATTAAACTCCACTCATCCTGACACTGAAGTCAGCAGGGGACCACTCAGTGGCTTCAAGAATGCCTGAATCTGTTCATGTTGGCAGCACACAGTGAGGATGAGACAGTGGCAGGACTGTGCCTGTACAAAGCTCGGACTCATGGGGAGGATGGTGGGGTGACTTCTTCCTCTGTACTTCTGAGAAGCCAGACTACTTAGCTCTCTGCACATCTCCTGTTCTGGGTAGAGTGGTGAAACAGGAAACCTTCAGCCATGGGGGTCACCATCACCAAGTGGGCAGAAGGTGCACCTGGTTTCAACCCACTTGCACTTACTCGTCCCCAGATTTAAAGACTCAAAATGAAGCTGAGGCTGAAGATCAAATGGCTAGTGCGAATTTTGTTTATTTCAGGTGGAGGGGAAATATCTTGGTTTTATTGATCTCCAAACACCAACATCACATGAAGCATGGGAACCTGTCAGCCACCTGCAATGATTTTCTGATTGCTCCTGAAAGTACAGCTGGCTCTGTTGTCCATACTGCCGACAGGCTGACACAAACCTGGACTGGGGTTTATGGCAAATGTGCACTCAGAGAAAGCTACCTGGTTCCAGGGCTAGTCAAGCAAAGGTAACTAGGAAGCCCTGTCTACTTCTCCCCAAAATGTATACAATGTCAAACACAAATGCAGTTTTGAAGAATCAAATATTTGGGTTGTCCCGTAACAATTCACTCTTCTAGCCTCATGGAATACTGAGGATAGACTCTATCACACCTGCTAATGGCAGAAATCTACTGCCACCAGCTTACAACAAGGGACCTGAGTCACAGCAGAAAGCAATGCACTCTCTGGGTCATGAGAACGGGCAAAAAAAAGTTATTCTTAGTTTTAATGAAACTGGAAAATTATCCTGTGATCCAGGGCTTCTCAACCTTCCATGTGCTTACAAATTGTCTAGAGACCTGATTAAAATACAAGCTGTGACTCACTGGGTCTGGGTGGGGCCCGAGACCCTGCACATCTAAGGTGCTCCCAGGGGGGCTGCTGGGATGACAATCTGAGCAGTGCAGGCTTCAGCCTTGAACATGCCACTGTGAGTGACACATCAACACCGGAGCTGACATTCAGCACCTGAGTGAATCTGGTTTCTGTATTGCCCACCTCCCTTGGTTAAGGTATTCATCAGCAGAAACAGAGCTCCTTACTTTACCCCTTCAACAACCACACAAGAAAGGCCACTAAGGGGTTCAAGGATGGTTCTCCATCCAAGAAGCTGCTTAGGTCATGTGCCCATGAGTGTCAAGAAGAATATGGGAACTGAAACCTGATAATACTTTATATTGCCCCAAATCTAATTTCAGCTCATGATTATGCTTCCTAGCTAACTAAAAGGAGCCCTGGTGTGCAATGGTTAATCACTCAGCTGCTAACCAAAAGGTTAGTGGTTCGAACCTACTCAGTGGTTCCCTGAGACAAAGACCCGACCATCTGCTCCCATAAAGATCACAGCCTAGAGACCCTAGGGGGCAGATCTTCTCTGTCCCACGGGGTCACCAGGAATCGAATGACCCTATGACAGATCTGCTCTGTCCCAAGGGGTCGCTAGCAGTCGGAATCGACTCAGCAGCAGTCCACAACAACAGCAGCCAACTAAAACTCCCAACAAGGAGGGCCGACAAGCAGCTAACTTGAACTCTCCAGTGCTGCAGAAGCAAAACAAGTGGCCCTTGGGTTTAGCAATAACAAGGCAAGAGAGCCTTCAGTGGCATGGTCAGAGCAGTGAAGGAGGGGGAAAAGAGGTGACAGCAAGCAGGGACAACTCCTTCAAACATCTGACTTCAGAAGGCCAGGCAAACTTCTGGAGTAACACACATAAAAATTTAATAGTGCTCTGGGGATTGGAAGTGAACTTTATTTTTTTATTCTTTATGCTTTTATGTTTTGTAGTAAGTACACACAGTTTACACTCATGCACACACAAGGTGCTGTGGAGTCAACCCAACTCATGGTGACCCCTATGTGTCAGAGCAGAACTGTGCTCCACAGGGTTTTCAATGGCTGGTTCTTCAAAAGTAGATTGCCAGGCCTTTCTTCCAACGTGCCTCTGGGTAGGCTCGAATCTCCAACCTTTCGGTTAGCAGTGAGCACATTAATTGTTTGCACCATCCAGGGACTCTTAAGTATGTATTTGTTGTTGTTTCGTGTCATCAAGTTGATTCTAACACTCGTATGTATATATAGTCTTAGTTAATAAGAGAAAAGAACATCGAATATAATAAAGTTGGTGGTTTTTCTCCCTCCCCCTTGATGTCTAGTAGAGGTATCACTGACAGGTGAAACAGTTCCATGAGAATGAAGGTGACACACAGACAGACTTGGAGTCAACACTGACAGTTCACCTACGGTGCTGGCACAGGCCTTGGAGCTGCCAAGCCTTGTGATGTCCGTCCCAGAGGTTCCCACCACCAGCTGCACTTCACAACCACCTGTGAAGCCTTTATGTTTTGGGATGCTGTGCTGCCCCTAAAGATTCTGACTTACTGGGTCTGGTGTGGCACCCAGCATTGGTATTTTCATCCCCCAAACTCTGCATGAAGCAGGGGCTGAGGATCATCAACTGGTAGGAGTGGAAGCCCTGGGAAACTCGGTCAGGGACAGAGCCAGAGCAGAGCGCAGGCCTCTGTCTGCCGCCCATCCATCCATCCACACCGTCCTTACCCTCCGGAGAAGATCTTCTCCACATAGCTGCACATGAACTCTCTGAGTTCCAAGGCCTCTTCATCCGTGGCACTCTGATTGGATGAGAAGGAGTCATTGGAGGAGGAACGGCGGTACTGGTCCCAGGATGGGTGGGAGGGTGACTCGTCCATGTCGTTCTCACTGTCCGCGGACTCGGTGGTCTCGCTCTCTGAAGCACCATCGCCCAGCGAGCTGTCCCTGTCCTGTAGCTGTGGTGGCAGGGCCTCCAGGGGAGAAGAAGGTGGTGGCTCAGTCCCAAAGTCAATCAACGACCCCACAGGCACTTCCGGGGCCTCCATGGCGTGACTGGGCTGCTGGCGGTGCCAGGTGGGGAGGCTGCTGATTTGCTTCCCAGGTGCTTCAATGGGAGCCAGAGGCCAGCTGGAGCACCGGCAAGGACAGGTGAGTGCCCCGGGAGCTGCAAGGATGAACCCTCTGCAGCAGCGTCACACAGCTCTAAGGCATCTGAAATATAAACACAAACACAGGAGGCTCACCACCTCACATGACAGCCCAGACTTAACCAACCAACAAAGCAGGCCAGCTGGAAAGAGAATGCTCTCCAAACTTGCAGAATTCAGGCTTCTATGCCAGCGTCATTTTCCTACTGTCCACTTTTACTGTTAAACACTTGGGATGCAGCACACACCTGATACATGCTTGTCAAGTCAATGAAAAATCAGCAACAACTATTAGGATTTCTCCAAACTAAGCCAACAGAGTTTAAGATGGCATTCACTGGCTCTTCACTGTAGCCTACAGACTGAGGATATCTGCCAGCCAGTAAACAGGCCGATCCTTGGGGTGGGAATAAAACCCTCAAAGATGGCCTGCCCATGTGCTCCCTGTCCCTGGAATGGGTGTCATCAAGCACACTGGGAAGGACCGGCTCTGCTACACCACGGGCACCACAGCTCGTGCCCGGACTCGTGCCTGCACTTCCCAGCTCATCCTTCACACACTGCTTATTGTTTGTCTACTGGAGACGGGACCGGCCCAGGTTGCCCTGTGTCTGCCCCTACTCAGCACTCTTCTCAAACGCCCTGATGGTACCTAAGCACTGGGCCCGACCTCTGCATCCCTGCTCAGAGCGTGGGAGGCGAAGGAGCGGTCTGCCCAGATGGGCAGCCCCAGCCCCCCTCTGTCAGCAGCTGCCCTGTCTGGGACGTCCAGGTTAGAGGAGATCTCTAAGGTCCTCCAGGCAAGCACACTCTCAGTCTCTCCACAGGACAGGAACTCCTCCCTCAATAGCACACCTAATAGGAACATGACTAGGGACGTGTCTGTAGTGATGTGACAAAGAGGTGCATCATATCCACATTATATTAAAAGTTCACACAAACCTAATCACAAAGTCTCTACTACAATAGATACACAAACTATTCAAACAGGCAAAGCACACAAGAGTAAATATAATTCTTAAATGCTTAGACAATTCATCAGCCCATACTAACAGCCAAATGTAACTACAGCAATAAATGTCATAATATGGTACTAAAATACCATAACATCTACAATCATAACCCCAATGCTGGTGAGGTTATGGTGAAACTGAGATTCTCAAACATTGCTGGCAACAGGGATAAGTGAGATTTTTATAAAGCTATTTGTTAATTCTTATTTTTATCTCCTCTGATCAGGAATTAAAATTCTTAGAATTTAAGCTGAAAAAAATAACTCAAAATATTCGGAAACAACAAAATGCTCATCACAACAGTATTTATAATCCCTTTGATAAATTGAGCAGGAAATTCTAACATAACAAAGTAGCAAATAAATCCTAAAAATCTGATGCAATACTATTCAGTGTACACTGTACCACTTAGAAAAAGGTTCACTTTATTTTATTTTATT